ACAGAGTGGACTCCTCATCTCTACAAAAAATACGAAAACTGGCTGGGCGCAGTGGCTTACGCCAGTAATCCCAACACTTTTGGAGGCTGAGGTAGGTAGAACATGAGGTAAGGAGTTTGAGACCAGTCTGGCCAACATAGTGATACCCCATCTCTACTAAAAAAACACAAAAAATTAGCCAGGTATGGTAGCGTGTGCCTGTAATCCCAGCTACTTGGGAGGTTGACGCAGGAGAATCACATAAACCTGGGAGGCAGGGGTTGCAGTAAGTTGAGATTACACTATTGCCCTCAAGCTCAGGAGACGGTGCAAGATTCCATCTCAAAATATATATATATATATATGTATAAAATAAATATTAGGCAGGCGTGGTGGCCCATGCCCGTAGTCCCAGCTACTCAGGAGGCTGAGGCAGGAGGATTGTTGCTTGGGAGCTGGGTCTGGGAGGCTGCAGCTGCAGTGAGCATGATTGCTTCACTGCACTCCAGCCTGGATGACAGAGTGAAACTCTGTCTCTTTTAAAAAATAAAATAGCCACATGCAGCGGCTCATGCCTGTAATCCCAGTACTTTGGGAAGCTGAGGTGGGCGGATCACCTGAGGTTGGGAGTTCGAGACCAGCCTGACCAACATGGAGAAACCCCATCTCCAGTAAAAAAAAAATACAAAAAAATTAGCCAGGCATGGTGGCAGATGCCTGTAATCCCAGCTACTCAGGAGACTGAGACAGGAGAATTGCTTGAACCCAGGAGACGGAGGTTGCAGTAACCCCAGATCATGCCACTGCACTCCAGCCTGGGCAACAAGAGTGAAACTCCATCTCAAATAAATAAATAAATAAAATAAAAAAGAAGGGGAGAATGGATATTCCGTAGGCAACTAGCAACATCCTCCTACTGGTTGATTTATTTTGAGGTAGTAATTCAGGGCTTTGCTGCAGCATATTCCATGCATGCTACGGGTCATGTATAAATGGCAAGGACATAACAATTTTTTCACATATGTTGTCTGAGCTTAAACTGATGTACTGTTAATAAATTCTGCCACGTTCGCCTTCTCAAGATTATTATCTGCCATTTAAAAATATGTAAAACTGGCTGGGTGCAGTGGCTCATGCCTGTAATCCCAGCACTTTGGGAGGCTGAGGTGGATAGATCACCTGAGGTCAGGAGTTCGAGACCAGCCTGGCCAACACGGTGAAACCTTGTCTTTATTAAAAATACGAAAAAAATAGCTGGGCATGGTGGTGTGCACCTGTAATCTCAGCTACTTGGGAGGCTGAAGCAGGAGAATCACTTGAGCCCAGGTGGCAGAGGTTGCCATGAGCTGAGATCACGCCATTGCACTCCAGCATGGGTGACAAGAACAAGACTCCATCTCAAAAAATTATAGTAAATAAATACAAATAAAAAATATAAAACTAAATTTTAGAATAAATGACATGTCCAAGAACAAATGGGCTCAAATGAACATTAATCATCTTCATCCAGTATTTTACATGTAGAAGGTTATTGACTGACCTTAGAGAAAGAAGGACTTGAGACCGTTGGGGTTGTAAATGAAACAGAAGCCCAGAAGTGTAACTGATTTAGCCAAGGTCTAGTTGCCAACAAAGATAGGACAAAAATCTAAACTTCTGGATTTCCAGTTCAGTGTACTTTCCACTACCCAATTAAATGTATATCTAACCTTGGAGTCCATTTCTTTTGGGGGGAAGAAGAATTGAGTCACACAGCTTTCACTTTATCCTCATCATTTCAGATTCTTTCCTAACCCACTTATTTAGAGTCCCTCAAGACCTGAATAACAAAGCTTGTTACTTAATGACTTAATGAACATAAACACGTCATTATGGAATAAGTTACACTCCCACAATAGTACAAATATAGAAATGAGTCTATTATGATTGGATTAGTCTCTGACCCTTGAGTTTATTCTGCCTGTTAGGCAATTAGCTTCAAGGTTTCTTATTTCAGTTGTCAGAGCTCACCATGATAGGAGGCCAAATAGATAGCCTCCTTCGGTGTTGTGATTTTGTACGGGAAGGCTTTATCTGTACACCCAATGGTCAATTGGGAAAGGATGGTGCAATCCATGTGGTCCATCCCTCCTCCAAGAGAGATAACCTCTCTCAGCAACCCTGTCTCGTTTCCATAACGCATATGCAGAAGGACCTAAATGTGACACATTTACTTCTTTGACTGCTTCTGTGGTATGCCTGAGGTGAGTATAGGTGCAACATTCTGGAGAAGGAGAGCTGGTGTAACGACAGTGCTCCAGAAAAACAGTAATAGTTTTTTCATCTGACCACAGGCTCAATATGGAACAACACTGGGATGAGACTGTTCATGTAATTTAAGGCCACATTAATTCAGTGTCCAAAATAAAGGAGGAAATGGCCCTATTGGATGCTATTTGTTTTGTGGCTGTCAAAATAATAATTCAGTTGTAATGACGTACTGCATTTGTTGTACACTGGCCTATTCCAGGCACTGTGCTAACAACTGTACCACTATTATCTCCTTCAATCCTATGACAACCCTCTTGAGGAAGATATTACCCAGGCTGACACATAAAGAAGAGGCTCACAGGCTGGGTGCGTCAGCCCACGCCTGTGATCACAGCACTGTGGGAGGCCAAGGTGGGTGGATCATTTGTGGTCAGGAGTTTGAGAACAGCCTGGCCAACATGGTAAAACCTCGTCTCTACTAAAAATACAAAAAATTAGCTGGGTGTGGCTACTTGAGAGGCTGAGCTGGGAGGATCACCTGAACCCAGGAGGCAGAGGTTGCAGTGAGTCGAGATTGTGCCACTGCACTCCAGCCTGGGTGACAGAGTGAGACCCTATCTCAAAAAAGAAAGAAAAAACGAAGAGGCTCATGGAGGTGGGATAGTTTGCTTATGATCATATGCAATGGAAATAAGTTGGGGATTCAAAGACAGGTCTGTCAGAATTCAAAGGCTTTGCTCTTAGCTATAATTCTACTGTGCCTCTTTATCCTAAGCATATAGAAAAAAAAAAGTGATTAAATGATGGCTCTTCCTGCAGCTTTATAACTGAGGAGCGCAGACAGAATAAGAGGAATGGGTTTGGAGTTCTATTTTGTTTAGAGTATAGGACAGATACTCTTGTACATAAAATCTTATAGCCTTTTACCCTCCGGGAGTTAACGCTAAAGTGTTCTAGTAATTTACAGAAATGTTTAAAATGCCAATTTAATGAGTGTCCTTGGTAGCTGGCATTGTAGTGCTCGTATAATACAAGGTAGCTAAAAATAATACATGGAAAGGCATCTAAATTCTTATTAAAATATGAAAAATCAAAGTGCAATGCAAACACTGGCCACGATTATCTCCAATCAGCTGGCTTGCGTTTCAAAGCTCAGTAAGTGACATAAGAGGAAAAAGAGCTCTATGATTCATTTTAAAACCTTTTTTTTAAAAGCCCTAGTCTGCTACCAGCTGTCCCTTAACTCCATACAATGAGAGCAGCTGCAAAAGATAACTGCCAACATGAAAACATGATCAGAATAGTAGCTGACCCCAGCAAGGAGCAGACCTTTCCCAAACAGGATTAGATCATTGACTTTGGCTTTGTGTTCTGAGCTTGGTCTGTCACCCTTCTAGGTAACAATCCTTTGAAATTGTGTATAATGATGGCTTTGAGAGAGGCTCTAAAAAATGAGAACTGTTCAGTGGATGGAACCACATTCAGCTAGCTAAAAAAAAGAAGACAAAATCTTTTTCTGTTTGCTGCAATGGGGAAGACTGAAAACCTGAATTAAATAGGATAGGCACTTAGTTTTTTCTTACTTTGAAACTATATTCTTGACTCTAAGTAAATACCTTTTTGAATCTGGTCAATTCTGTCAAATGTCCAATCTAGACAAGGATGCCCCCATATCAGGGCCTTTGCACATGCTGTTCCTTCTATCTGGAACATTTCAGCCTCATTCCCATCCTGTAGTCCTGGCTAGCTACTGCTCTTGCTTTATGTCTCGGCTAAAGTAACTCTTTCACAGGTCTTTCCAGACTACCCAAATGATCATAAGTATAATAGTTTTTATGTTCTTGTACCCTACAGATAGATTGTGCTCTATAATAGGCAAAAATAATGCCCCCCCCACATCCCCCCCCACCCCACACACAAAACCCAGGTCCTAATCCCCAGAACCTATGAATATGTTACCTTACACAGCAAAGGGGACTTCGCCAATGTGAGTAAGCTAAGGATCTTGAGACGGGAAAATTATCCTGAATTATACGGTGGGCCCAATGTAATCACAGAAGTCCTTGAGAATCAGAGAGGGGGTCTTCCTTAGAGCCTCCAGAAGAAGCCTAGCCAGGCTGACAAGTTGATTTTAGTGCAGTCAACCCATTTCAGATTTCTGCTGCCCAGAATTGTAAGATGATACTTTTATGTTCCTTTAAGCCACTCAGTTGTGGCAATTTGTTACAGAAGCAATAGGATAAGAACACAGGACTTATTATGCTTTTATTGATTTGTTTTTCTGTCTTTTCTGTTTAACTATAAGCCCTATACAAGCAGAGGCAATGTCTCATCTACCTTCTTATCCTTAGCACCTAGTGTTCCCTTTGGAGAGACTGTATATAGAAAAAGCGCATTATATACTTTAGGTAAGAGTTTGATTTTTAAAGATATTTTAATGTAAATACGTATTTCATTAAAATGAAGGGAAGGAGGTTCCAGAATCATTAGATAATTCATTCTTAAATTTTTTTCTGAAGCATAATCTGTTTTGTGATCCTAGTCCCTAGTAGATGGATGAAAGCATATCATCACTAATTTTAGCATTCAATTCCCTAACCTGGTGTAAAAAACTCAGCACTAGATTTAGAATGCACTGTAGTCACCTGAGCTGCCCAGCACTCTGGTGCGGTAAAGGGCGAGATGACAGAAGTTAGAAGGGGGACAATAAGTGAAGGAGGACGGAGAGAATGGCGTTTCTCTTGCCTCCACGGTCCTGTGAGCACACTTACCTTTGAGCTATAGTCAGAAGAGCCCCAGCCCGGTCCTGAAAAGCTTACTGTGCGCTCCACTGCCACCTGCTGTCAGCCAGGGTTTTGGTCAAATACAAACTGCAAAGGCTTCAGGTCTTCCTGTCTTTAAGATTCAGGATAGTCCAAAAGTTATAGCTGAATGTGAATTCCCTCACTTTACATAGTAAACAGTATGAAAGTTCTTTTGCTCCACACATTCTTGGCCACACATGGTATTTTTAAGTTTTTAACTTTCAGCCATTTTGTTGGGTTTGTAGTGGTACCTCATGGTTTTATTTTGCATTCTTAGGACTAACAAGGTTAAGCACTTTTCACAGGTGTTTATTGGTTGTTTGGAAACCTTCTTTTGAGGGATGGCTACTTAAGTCTTGCCCATTTTTCTATTGTGTTGCCTGTCTTCCTCATTGATTTGATGACTTCTTTATTCAGGACAAGAGTGCTTTGTCTAATCTGTTTGTAATTGTTTTTTCTTATATTGAGGTTTGCCTTTTCATTCTTATAATCGGGTCTTCTTCTGATGTTCAGTGTTCCTGATTTTAACGTAAATTCCAAATTTACACATATAAATTTACATAAATGTAAATTTAACACAAATTGTAAAGTCCAATTTATCAATCTTTTCTTTTATAGTTCATCTTTTTTGGGTCTTGTTTTATTTTGAGACAGACAGGATCTCGTGCTGTCACCCAGGCTGGAGTTCAGTGGTGCGATCTTGGTTCACTACAGCCTCCGTGGGCTCAAGCGATCCTCCCTCCTGAGTAGCTGGGACTACAGGCACAGGCCACCACACCTGGCTAATTTTTTTGTATTTTTGCTACAGATGGGATTTCACCATGTTGCCCAGGCTGGTCTTGAACTCCTGAGCTCAAGTGATCCATCTGCCTTGGCCTTGCAAGGTGCTGGAATTACAGGCATGAGTCACCATGCCCAGTCTTTTGGGGGCCTTGTTTAAGAAATCTTGGCAGGCTGGGTGAAGTGGCTCACACACAAGTGTGTAATCCTAGTGCTTTGGGAGACTGAGGCCAGACGATTGCTTGAGGCCAAGAATTTGAGTCCAGCCTGGGCAACATGGTAAGACTCTGTCTCTACAAAAAAATTTAAAATTATCCAAGCATGGAGGCATGTACCTGTAATCTCTACTACTCTGGAGGCTGAGGTGGGAGGATCATTTGACCCTGGGAGGTCAAGACTACAGTGAGCCATGATTGCACCACTGCACTCAAACCTGGGCAACAGAGAGTAATCTTGTCTCGAAGCAAAACAGAAAACTAAAAGACCACATGAAAGTCATGACTATATTACCCTTTTATCTTCTAGAAACTTTACCATTTACCCTTTCACATTTAGATCTAGCATCTACCTGAAATTGATTTTTGTGTGTGACACAGGGGTATGCATTTTTTCCACTGAGATATTCAATGGAACACCTAAAAAACACTTTTCCCTTACTGCACTGCATGCCACCCTTGCTATGTGTGTGTATATACATATCCACACACCTGTGGACATGCCCTGGACTTCATTCTACTGATCATCTGCGATCATTTATTTATCCTTGGGCCACAGCCATGTATTCCTTGGAACAATAATAATTACAACAGAAGCAATAATTATCATAAAAATAACAGAAGCAGTTATTTTTTAAAGCCCACAGACTACTGTGTGGCAGGCAGTTTGTCTACCGCTACTTCTAGCACACCCGGCAATGAGACAATGTCGTTTTTTTTTTTGAGACAAGAGTCTTGCTGTCACCAGGCTGGAGTGCAGTGGCGCAATCTCAGCTCACTGCGACCTCTGACTTCCTGGTTCAAGCGATTCTCATGCTTCAGCCTCCGGAGTAGCTGGGATTACAGGCACACCCCACATGCCCAGCTAATTTTTGTATTTTTAGTAGAGACGGGGTTTCACCCTGTTGGCCAGGATGGTCTCAAACTCCCAAACTGGTGATTTGCTCCCCTCAGCTTCCCCAAGTGCTGGGATTACAGGTGTGAGCCACTGTGCCCGGTAGATAGTGTCTTAATGTAGTCTCTGGTGGTTAATCTGGGTCTCTCTTTCTGCACTAAATATTAATGGGAACTACTACCACTATTACTACTATTACACAGCTTATACTCACATACCATTTACTATGTGCCAGGCACTTTTCTAAGCACTGTACACACAATAATTCATTTAATCTTCCCAATTAAGTCTTTGAGGTAGGTACTATTTACGTCTTTTACAGATGAGAACATTTAATCACGACTTGGTCAAATTGCCCAGCCAGTAAGTGGTGCAATCAGGACTTGAACACAGGCCAGTCTGGCTCCAGGGTCCATGCTTTCAACTACTACCTTTGGTGCCTATTTTATGGGCAATGCATTTTCTTGCAAACCACAACATGCAGCCAGGCAACAGAGCAGGAGCACTAGTCTCCAACTTGGTTAAACACTCCATGCACGTGATGGAGAGGTGGCCCAACATAAAAACCTTTAATGATGTGACTCCTGTTTTTTCCTTTTCAACCTCATCACCCCCCAAAACCCCCAAATGTACTGTTCTATGTTCTTTTATGTAGTGATCAGTGAGGAATGACAAGAGGAGACACAGGAAAAAGTTTCTTACACTCACAGGTCCTACAAACAGAAGGCACAGCACACCATGCACAGCCACGGCAAGAAAAGCACCCGTCGGGAGGCAGGAGCAGCAGGAGCCAGGGGAGAGCCTGGGCGCTTACTGGAGTTTCCGAGGAAATGGCAAGGCAGAGCAGGGTGAAAAGTTTGGGATAGGCTTGTTGGAATCATTTCAGTGTGCTCTAAACTACAGAGGTTGTCCCTAGTTGCCCGTTACCTGGTCCTGGGATGATTTAAGGACGAGGAACATTGCCTCCAGGGGTTTCAGGGCCAGACAGAGGATGTGTGGCCCAGGGCTAGTTTGTATATCTAAGGTATGCTCCCACCTGAGTCCTTTGCTGTCTAGAAAAACTGGGGAGTACCAGGAGGGACAATCACTCCCCAGAAGGGAAAGTTTCTTAAAATGGCAAAACATCTTATACAGAAAACTTTAAAAATATAAACAGTACATGTACTCTGTGTTCAAATGGTCCGCAGTGCTCCAAACTGCCATGTGCTTCTTTGTCTCCAAGTACGTACTATTCCTTGCTTTGGTTGCACCTGTTTTTTTTTTGTCTTAAAATCTTAGATCAGTCCAGGTGCGGTGGCTGGCACCTGTAATCCCTGCACTTTGGGAGGCCTAGGTGGGTAGATCACAAGGTCAGACGTTCTAGAGACCAGCCTGGCCAACATGGTGAAACCTCTTCTACTAAAAATACAAAAAAATTAGTTGGGCGTGGTGGCTTGCGCCTATAATCCTAGCTACTCAGTAGGCTGAGGCAGGAGAACTGCTTGAACCCGGGAGGTGGAGGTTGCAGTGAGCCAAGATTATGCCAGTGCACTCCAGCCTGGGTGACAGAGTGAGTCACTGTCTCAACAAAAAAAATCTTAAATCAAATCCACTTCTCTGAGATCAAAGCACTGAGGCCCCGATGACCCAGAAGTACAGTTAAGAGTTTTCCTTATATCACACCCCAGGGAATGCAGCACTTTTTATATTGCTGTAATTATTGGTTAATTTGCCTGTTTCTTCTACTAATTATAAGACCCTTCTGAGGGGCTGAGGAGTGGAAAGAGGTAGAAACATTGTTGGAATGAATGAATGAATGAGTGAGCAAATGAAAGAAACCCTCCCTTCCAGAGACAATACTCCACTCTTCCTATCTTCTCCACTCTTTATGATGAACTGTGTCTCCCAAAGGGGTGCTGTCTTCTTTTGTTTAACATGTATCAGTGACCCTATCTAGGCCTCTTACTGGTGGAGCTGGGGGTGGCTGAGAAAGAAGGCAGGCTCAGAATTTTCACTGGTCAGTTACTGAGATCATATAATTAATTTGTTAGCAAGATAAAAATATATTTTGGATCAGATATTTTAAACTAAAAATAAAAACTCCAGCATTCATAGTTTACCCAACGTTAAAAGTACATTTTAAGAACCTAATCCTGGCCAGGTGTAGTGGCTCACACCTGTAATCCCAGCACTTTGGGAGGCCGAGGTGGGTGAATCTCTTGAGCTCAGGAGTTTAAGACCAGCCTGGGCAACACGGTGAACGCTTGTCTCTACAAAAAAGTACAAAAAATTAGCTGGGCGTGGTGGCATACACCTGTTGTTCCAGCTACTTGGGAGACTGAGCCTAGGAGGCAGAGGTTGCAGTGAGCCAAGATCATGCCACTGCATTCTATCTTGGGTGACCAGAGTGAGACCCCATTATACAGACACACACACACATCCTTCCAACAAGTGGTAAGCAAAGGGTATTATTTTCATTGTAGAGATGTAGAATGAAGCTCAAAGATGCCAAATGACTTTGTTCAAGATACCAAAGCTTGTAAGTAACAGGGGCAAAATTCTAATTTGAATCCAGGACTTCTGTTACTAAATTTGGAGCATTTTCCATTAAGCCACACTGCTCACTGCTCCTTGACTTACATTTATTTCCCCTCAGCTTATATTTGTCAATATTTACCAAAAGGATACATGCTTCATACTTGCAAGAGCTGAGTTAATGATCATTTTGGATGTTCCTCAATGTAGGTAACCAGCAAAGCTCCCTCAAAAGGCAGTTAGTTAGGAGAGCAGTGCCAGAGAAGCAAGCATTTACAAATCTCTCATAACCAAAGCACTGGTCTACAGACATATTTTAAGGGCCTATATGTTTCTAAGGGGCATACGAAGAAGTGCACAACAGCTTCTAAACAACCTCTCTAGGTTTTGTTTCTTATGAAATGATGAAGAGACATCAAATGTTTCTAGAAAATCAGTAAAATCAGGGATATAAGATTCAAAGTACAGTGATTGCGTACTATAGACAAAGGGTAATGAATCTAGTGAATAATTATGCACGTGATCATGAAATGTAAATTGTGACAATGTGAACAAAGGAGTCAACAGTATATGAAAATCTAAACTCATTTTTATGCATCTAACCAAAATAAAAATATCACACAAAATTAATTTAGAATGATTTTAAATGTTTTCTGTGTTTTATCAGCAAGTAAGCCAATTAATCCTTTATTGTGAAATTTAATACTTAAAAACATTTACACTAAAATTAACTTCTGTGTTGAATGATGGCTGAATTTCTTACTTATGCTTCTGAGTGAGTGGTTTTAAAAATCCAATGCCAGTACATGTATCTATCTCTGCAGCCTTTATAAAGGCATTTCTGTACTGTGATCCTTCAGACACGGTAGTTTCAAAGACTTTCTTTTCAGTCATCCTCAAGATTCAGGGAAATGTGAAAGATTCAACTTTGGCAATGGCTGGGGCCTCTGCCCCAATAATGCTATATTCCTAAATGCATGAAATATACATTAATCAAACAGAAACAGAAACACCAAATCTTTTAGTATATACTTTCAACTGAGAAAATATAAACAATATTTGTCCAGTATTGCATTTTAAGTATTTACATAGCATTAAGATAGAAAGCAATGAGAAACATGATACATTTACAGTTTTGTTTTGTTTTGTTTTTCCTGACAGGTCTTACTCTGTTATCCAGGCTGGAGTGAGTGGTGCTATCTAGCTCACCAGAACCTCCACCTCCTAGGCTCAAGCAATTCTCGTGCCTCACCCTCCCAAGTAACTGGGATTACAGGCATGTGCCACCACACAGCGCTAATTTTTGTTTTTGTAGAGACGGGGTTTCGCCATGTTAGCCAGGCTGGTCTCGAACTCCTGACCTGAAGTGATCCACCTGCCTTGGCCTTCCAAAGTACTGGGATTACAGGTGTGAGCCACAGCACCCAGCCTTATAGTTTGTTATTTACAATCTTTAAACATAATTGAAAAAGCAAAACTTGGGGAGAGAACTCTTAAAATATTAAGAAATTAAAATGTATAAAAAACAATATTGGGAAAAATGTCACACATTATAGCTTAATAAGTGTAAACTATGTTAGAAAGGCGAATGTATTTCACGGAAAGAGTATACTGACCTAATACAGGTATACAAAGGAATGAATAGGTATCATTTCATGAGATGTATATTAATCCAACAGTGAATTAATTGACTGCCAAATAGGGTGAACAATTAGAATGAGGCAAATTAAATCATCAATAACACAATTTAAAATTTCTAAGTAAACTTGAAAACATCTTTCAATATTTATTTAACCATAAGCACATAAAACATGAAAATATCAAACTGAAAACTAGTCTTGAACTTGGAATCAAATTATTTTGTCAATGTGAGAAAATTCAGACAGCTCTCAGTTTATAAAATAATCTACAGAGACAAATGGAGACTGTTTTAATTATCGTTAAAAAGTACTATGCTGAAAGCAACATTTAGATTTCTTTTTTGCCTCACTGTCAGTGTTAATTACTTAGTGTATTAAATAACACACACAATAGGAAAACAGTATTTTCTATTATATCACATTATATATTCCCAAATTATAAAAATAAATCTTTCTGCAAATAAAAAACAAAAACAGAATAGTTTACATTACAAGTCTTAAGATATACGACAAACTAACCTGATATCATGACAATTTCTTTTGGCCATGATTATATTGAGTCTTTAAGTTATTTATTCAGGAAGTTAAATCAAAAATCTTTGATCCACCAATGTTTTGGATGCCAAATTCTTTTGTCCTACTGTATTACAGATATATCTAAAAATCTGGAAAATTAAAACACTTCAGAATGAAAAGAAATTTAAACAAAATGAAATATGCACATCAATTAAAATATCTAGATTAAATTAGCTAATTGTCTCAACTATTTTCATGTACCAGGCATCTGAATCCCAGGGTGAAACAGAAAGTTATTTCAAGATGATAATTTCTTTCATAGTTTCAAAGCAATGTATGTTCTCATTTAGAATAAATTCTTATGAATTAATAATACAAATTCTCTCATATTCACAGGGATACACTTTAAAATATTTAGAAAGGCAACTTTCTTCTAAGTCTAAAAGCTACGGAAACATCAAAAGAATCTACTTGCTAAGGACAGTATTTCTTCACAATTCTAGATCACTGTCAAGGACTAACAAATTGCATCTTACTCGTATATATTCTTTGACATAAGGGAGAATATTTAGTTGATAATAACACTATTTCAAGAACAGATTTGCCATGTCTTGATATCTCCATTTCAGAGTCCACACTCATACACAAAGTTGCTTTTTATTCACACAGGTAGGGAAGGTGTCAAAGTTGCAAGCTAAAGGGGTCTTCCCTTTGGTGCTGAGCCCTGAGCTAGCTCTCCAGTGCTTGTTTTTTTGTTACATTAACATCTATCTGGTGGAGAGGGTGAAAAGGACTCTAATTACTGTTCACTTGTAGCATCTAGGAGACTAGCAGTTAAGTGTCTTCCTACAGGATTCCTCTTCCAAGTACAATCAGGCAACTTATGCCCTCCACTAGACCCCAGTATTTCATTGGCCCTGAAGGACAGAGTGCAGTTGATTGAAATGTGACTCCTTCTTTTGGTGGGATTAGTCATATCTAAGCCTTTACAAAATTGTAGTGAAAGCAGACACTGCTACTCTCTGCTATGAAAATAAATATCTACTACTAACATATTTCTCTCAAGAAAATGTAGAACAATTTTTTAAATTTACCTCTTGTTGTAGATATGTAAGGAAGGCTGCTAAAATAAAATTTTGGCAAGCCAAATCCACCACACAGAAGAACAGCAAATCAAAAATAAGAAGGGTAGCTTCATTTCCATAATACAGGACACTGCTGAAAGAATAACCTTCATCTATTAAAAAAATTTAGAAAATATAAATTAGACATTTTAAAAAGGAACAAGTCTGTGATAAATTTCTGGTAATAAAATTTGGATATTTAAAAACAGCATATAGAAACATACTATATACAATACTTCATGGCTTACACAAAAATAAACAAAAATTTTAAGATTTGCTACTCTTAAAGAGGTTAGTTAAAAAACTCATAAAAACTCATAAAAAGCAGTTTTGTTTTGTTTTGTTTTTTTTGAGATGGAGTTTTGCTCTTGTTGCCCAGGCTGGAGTGCAGTGGTGTGATCTTGGGTCACTGCAACCTCTGCCCCTCAGGTTCAAGCGATTCTCCTGCCTCAGCCTCCCCAGTAGCTGGGATTAAAGGAATGCACCACCAGGCCCGGATAATTTTTTTAATTTTTAGTAGAGACAGGGTTTCATGATGTTGGTCATGATGGTCTTGAACTCCTGACCTCAGCCCGCCTTGGCTTCCCAAAGTGCTGAGATTACAGGCATGAGCCACAGTGCCCGGCAGCAGTTTTATTTTTTTTTAATTTTTATTTATTTACCTCAGCCTCCCGAGTAGCTGGGATTACAGGTGCTCACCACCATGCCCAGCTAATTTTTGTATTTTTAGTAGAGAGGAGGTTTCGCCATCTTGGCCAGGCTGGTCTTGAACTCCTGATCTCGTGATCCACCCACCTTGGACTTCCAAAGTGCTGGGATTACAGGTGTAAGCCACTGCACCCAGCCAAAAACGGTTTTAACATTAGGACCAATGGTTGGTAACTGCTAGTAGTATAAGTTTCAAAGACCAGTTAATGAATAACCTTTCTCTATTTCTTTATATAACTAAAGGCTAAATTAATCTTATAAACATTCCCTAAGATAGAGTAAATTAGAGAAAAAAACCCATCAAGGCACAGAATAGTACATAGTGTTCAAAAGTTCAAGAATTTATTTCAAATAGTCCCCCTAAGGTTTTGTTCTAAGACCTCTTTTCACTCCACCAGTGGGTTTCATCTTTATTGGGATATGAATACCCTTTTTAAAAGATTATGATGAGGCTGGGTATAGTAGTTCATGTCTGTAATTTCAGCACTTTGGGAGGCTGAGGCATGAGGACTGCTTGAGGCCAGGAGTTCAAGACCAGCCTAGGCAACATAGCGAGACTCCATCTCTACCAAAAAAAAAAAAAAAAAGCTGTAGTCTTAGCTATTTGAGAGGCTGAGATGGAAGGATTCCATGAACCCAGGAGTTTGAGGTGAGAGTGAGCTATTAATATGATCACACCACTGCACTTCAGCCTGGGTAACAGAGCAAGAACCTGTCTCTTTTTTTTTTTTTTTTTTTTGAGACGGAGTTTCACTCATGTTACCCAGGCTGGAGTGCAATGGCGCGATCTCGGCTCACCGCAACCTCCGCCTCCTGGGTTCAGGCAATTCTCCTGCCTCAGCCTCCTGAGTAGCTGGGATTACAGGCACGCACCACCATGCCCAGCTAATTTTTTGTATTTTTAGTAGAGACGGGGTTTCACCATGTTGACCAGGATGGTCTCGATCTCTTGACCTCATGATTCACCCGCCTCGGCCTCCCAAAGTGCTGGGATTACAGGCTTGAGCCACCGCGCCCGGCCTAGAACCTGTCTCTTAAAAACAACAACAACAACAATAACAAAAGTCTGATGAACGCAACAGACTCTTTCACCAGGGGGAAAAAAAGTATACATATACAAATCTTGCAAACAATTTCAGGGAAATCCAGAGAACTACTGAAGCAGCCCATGGATACCGAGTTAAAAACATCTGCTTTATACAAGAGGGCATCTGAAGTGCTGGTTATGTTCTCTCTTGTCAAGAGTACTAGTTACAGGGTTATATCCATTTATATCCATTTATAGCTTGTACTAGCAAAGGGTTTTTTTTTGTTTGTTTGTTTGTTTTTTGCAGTGGCGCAATCTTGGCTCACTGCAACCTCTGCCTCTCGGGTTCAAGTAATTCTCCCTACCTCAGCCTCACAAGTAGCTGGGATTACAGGTGTACGCTGCCAAGTCTAGCTAATTTTTTGTATTTTTAGTAGAGACGAAGTTTCACGACGTTGGCCAGGCTGGTCGGAACCCCTGACCTCAGGTGATCCACCTGCCTCAGCCTCCGAAAGTGCTGGGACTACAGGCATAAGCCACCTCCTGTAACTGCTTTTTTACAAGCTATAAAATTGTTCAATCAAAAGATGTGATAATCAAAAGATTTTTTAAAAGCCATAAAATTATTAAATCAAAAGAAAAATATCTATAAGTACTTTTTTTCTCAAACTTTGAAAACAGTTATCAAGCTCTGTAAAGGGATTTAAAAGATACCATTGTAAAAGATGCTTTTTTCCATTGGTTCCATGAATTCCATTCCAAGAATTCTTTCAAGAAGTAACTTATCTTTTATAAAGTAATCCATTTCCTTATGAACCTAAAAAAAAAAAAAAAAAAAAAAAGACAGCATCACTTCAAGAATAGCAGCAGTGAAATAATGCTTTCCAATTAATGTAAAATCAGTGGGAGGGAAAATGAAAAATGAATAGTAACAAAGAAAATCTGTTCTTCAAAAAGATTTTTTTTTTTTTTTTTTTTTTTTAAATTTGAGACAGAGTCTCCCTCCATCACCAGGCTGGAGTGCAATGGCATGATCTCGGCTCACTTCAACTTCTGCCTCCTGGGTTCAAGCAATCCTCCCACCTCAGCCTCCCAAGTAGCTGGGACTACAGGCGTGCACCATCATGCCCAGCTAGTATTTGTACTTTTAGTCAAGACAGGGTTCACCATGTTGGCCATGATGGTCTTGATCTCCTGACCTCATGATCTGCTGGCCTCGGCCTCCCAAAGTGCTGGGACTACAGGTGTGAGCCACTGCGCCCAGCCATGACTGAATTTTCTACACTGAAACCTAAAACAAAATTTTCTTTAGGAATGTTTTAAATTTTAAGTGCTCTTAGTAGTATTTAGGGCTAGATATACTGAAAATCAATTTATACAAAGCTTTTCAGAAATATAATTATAGCATAACACAAGGATTTCAATAATGAATAACAGAGTGATATTTTGGTAACTGGCTACCAAAATTCCAGTGCACACACAGTTTAAGGGAATCATCATTATGTTAACAGACACATAAAATCTCATTTTACTTTTGTATAACCTAACTCTATTTCTAAGTCATAGTTAATGGCTAGAAATGCCTTTTTAAAATATATCATTCCTATGTATTGAAAGTGACAGACAAAAAAAGGGAAGGTCCTAAGGAACGGTTCTAAGTTTACTGACTTGGTTACCTTGAAGAAATAATTGACATTCCCACTTAACTTTTTAAAAATTGCATTTGATCCTAGCTTAAATATAAATGTTGACATACATACATGATCAATGAAGGAGCCAAGAAATTTATTCATCATATGATATGCTTTTATACTCTGCTCCAAAGTACTTGCTGATGAACTCAATAGTCTAGCAGGGCCATTTTTCTAATGTAAAAAAGAGAAATGAATAAATGCAAAGTCTTATGTTCTTGGTATCTAGAAACATTAAATATTAACAAAATATATCTTAACTGTACTTGATACAAACCCGTATTAGAGTCTCATGAATTTTGTCATAGTGTTGTCTCATCTGGTTAGAAATTGCAATCTGAAAAGTCTGACCATCTGTGTTAGGTACCAAACCTCTCTGGCTACACAAATTTTCCTGAAAAGTTAAAAAATTTAAGTTAACATCAATATTATAAAAAATTTTCTGCCTCAAAAAATTCAGATGCTAAATGAAATTTACTGAAACTGTATTTGAGAAACAGATTCTACCATTATCCAAGGTTCCCAGATTTTGCCAATTTCTACTTTAATGCACACTCCTTTACAGGTTTTTATATCATTTTCTTTCCTCTACTTAAATATATTTATTTATTTACTTATTTATAATATATAAATATATTTATCACATGTTATAATATATATTTATATATTTAAGTAGAGCAGATATACATATTTAGGTAGAGCATATATATATTTAAGTAGAGCAGAGTAAAGGAGATGACATAAAGACATATATATATATTTATTATTTATTGATATTCTTAGCTTTCTTTATAATTAACCTTATTGCTCTTTTAATGTATGCTCAAAAGTCTTGCTTTGGAGTTATCCAGATTTATAATTGCAAATGGTTTTTTCTTGTTTTCTAAACATTTTTGAGATGCTTCCTTAATTAATTACAATAAAACATACTAATAAATGACCAAACAGTTAATGTTATAAACCAGATATCCATTTTGGGTTTCCTTAACGCAACTTGGATCCTGACAACCACAAATATGTAAAAAAAATTTTTGATTTGATTGATGCTTCAAGGTTCGACACAAGTTCTCTTGCCTCCATAAAGCCTGTCTACCTACTGCAGCAGTTAATATTTTCCTTCTTTGCCTAAATCTAACCGGCAAACATAATATGGCACTTGGCTTTCTATACACTTAAAGGAAGAATACATGTAGTGAACTTCTCTATTTAAAAAAAAATTTTCTTGATTAAAAACATACATGCCGTTGCAGAAAATTTACAAAATAAAGAGAAATACAAAAAAGGAAAAAAAATTTAGCTAAAATCTCAACACCCAGAGATACAGATTATCTTAAGGAATTTCATTTCCAGTCTTCTCCCCAAGGCATATACATATAGATAGCATAAAATTGGGATCACAATGATTTCTTTTTCACTTAATGTTATAGCCTGAGCAATTACACTATGTCATTAAATATTCTATAAAATATGATTTTACCATCTATTTAAGATTTCACCACAAAGGTAAGCCAATTTATTTAATATTCTCCAATTTTACATACTTTTCCCCTTACAAATAACCTCTGTGATGAAGATCTTGAATTTAAGTAGCTGTTCATATTGTTATTTTTTCCTTGAGCTAACATTCATAAAATCAGTGAATCAAAGATTATGAACTTTTAAAAAGCTCTTGGTATACATTGCCCAAACACTTTCCAGAAGGTCTGCATAAATTTAACCTGCACCAGTAGCTTTGTGGTTGCCCATTTCACTGTGTCCTTGATACTGAGTATTAGCTTTTCTTTCTTTCTTTTTTTTTTTCAGACAGAGTCTCATTCTGTAGGCAGGCACCAGGCTGGAGTGCAATGGTGCGATCTCAGCTCACTGCAACCTCCACCTCCCGGGTTCAAGCAATTCTCCTGCCTCAGCCTCCTGAGTAGCTGGTAATACAGGTGCGCACCACCACACCCAGCTAATTTTTGTATTTTAGTGGAGACAGAGTTTCTCTGTGTTGGCCAGGATGATCTCGATTTCGTGACCTCGTGATCCACCTGCCTCAGCCTACCAAAGTGTTGGGATTACAGGCGTGAGCCACCACGCCCAACAAGTATTAGCTTTTCTAAAAAATATTTTGCTAGTTTGAAGAGAGGAAAACTATTATTTTTATAGTCAGTTCTTTGATTATGAGTTAAAATATTTTTAGAGGTTTATTAGTGTATATTAGTCATTTTTCCATTGAGATTTTAATTTAGTGTTTTCTTAGTGATTTGTGTAACTCTTAACACTGTTATCAGTATCTTTGTAATATTTGTTATAAGTATTTTGTCCTAACTCACTCTCTTTTATGATTGTTTGATATGTAAATGTACTGTATTAATAAAGTAACATCAATTAATATTCCCTTTTTGATGCTTTCTATTCTTTATCCTTAGAATATCATCCCCCAGTCTGAAATATTCTTTTCTAGTTTCTTATGGCTTCCCGTTTTGCATTTAACTTTTTAATCACAATATAATTTCTAATGTTTAATCAAGTGATCCAGTTCAATGTATTAAATAAATTCTTCTCTGAAATGCCATTATCATGTATCAAATTCTTACAAGTCACAGTTATGGCCCCTTAATCACTAAATCCTCTTGATTTTTCCTTTTAAGCATATCTTATTCTTTAAAAAATGTTATTATGAAGTTTTTTCCAAACGTACATACTAGAGAGAATAGTAAACCACTCATCACCTAGCTTCAGCAATTATGAATATTTTATTAATTTTGTTTAATCTATTCTCCCAAATTTTCTTTTTTCTTAGAGTATTTTAAAGTAAAATCCAGACCATGTCATTTCATCTGTAAATGCTTTGTAAGTATTTCTAATAAGGACTTCAAAATAAATAACTACCATGCCATTTTCATACCTAACAAAAGTAATTGTTACTTAACATTTAGTCCACTAAAAATCTCCCAGATTTTTTAAATAGTTGGTTTGTCTGAATCAGGATCCAAATGAAGTCCATACATTGTATCTCATTAGTTTGTTTATCAAACCTTTCTTATAATATAATAGTTCATACACTGCCACCATTACCCTTCCATTTCTTTTCATGCCACTGATTTGTTTGGAGGCACTGAGTCATTTATCCTGTGAGGCAGCCTACACTCCAGACCTGGCTAATTACTTCCTATGGTGCTATTTAATTTGTGCCTTTATCCCTTGTATTTCCCATAAACTGGTGGTTAGAGCTAGTGGGTTGATTATATTCAAGTTCAGTTTTATAGCCAAAAATACTTCATGTGTGATGTTATGTACTTTCTACTGCATCATGGCAGGAAGTATATATGTCAGTTTTCCTTATTTTTATTTACAGTGTGTCCAGATTATGTCAACCTAATCCCTCATTATAAAGTTCCTTGCCAACAAATACTTAATTGTTTAGCATGCACTGATGATGGCAGCTTACATTCATTGATCCATTAGTCATTGCAAAATGGTAATTTTTCTAACTTAGAATTCCTTCTACTTTTCTCTATAAGGAGGAACTTTCCCTCATGAATTGGTTACTGTGAAATACAGTTCATATAGGAACTGCAAGATAAAATTAGATTCCTTTCCTTTATGAATGTTCAGGGTAATGAGTTGGTCCCTAGCAACTTTCAAAGTGATCAATAGGCCAGGCACAATGGCTCACACCTGTAATCCCAGCACTTTAGGAGTGCTGAGATCAATCCCAAAGCCGATCATCTGATGTTAGGAGTTCAAGAGCAGCCTGGTCAACGTGGTGAAACCCACTCTCTACTAAAAATACAAAAATTAGCCAGACGTGGTGGATGCCTGTAGTCCCAGCTACTAGGGAGGCTGAGACAGAAGAATCACTTGAACCCGGGAGGCAGAGGCTATAGTAAGCCAAGATCGAGCCACTGCACTCAAGCCTGGGTAACAAAGTGAGACTCTGTATCAAGAAAAAAAAAAGTGATCAATAAAGACTTTTTTAAAAAACAAATCCTAGATTCATAAGAATCCATTTCTCAACTTAAAAACAAAAAGATATAAAACATTTTCATACCGCTTCTCTTTTAAGGTTCATATTCATTTCTTCCATATTAGTATCTGCATGCCCATGTACTGATCTACCGTGAATGTAATATCCAAAACATTTGTGGGATAACAGAAACACTGATATCTATAAAAAGAGAATAAAAAGAAGCAATTAATCTACAAAACAATAAAAAATTAAGTTTTCCTTAAAATTTCTTTTTCCCAAAACAATAAAGATTTTATTCTTGAGAAACATATAAAGAATAAAGTAATCAAAGATAATAAGGTTTTTTTTAAGTGTTTGAAAAGGAGATTGAAGATATTTTCCAAGAAAAGGAGAAATAAGCCTGGGCAACATAGGGAAACTCTGTCTCTCCACACAAAAAAATAGTTGAGTGTTGGTGGTGCACACCTGTGGTCCCAGATACTTGGGAAGCTGAGGTGGGAGGATTGCTTGGAACCAGGAGGTTAAGGTGGCAGTGAACAACAATTGCACCACTGTACTGCAGTCTGGATTATAATGCGAGACCTTTTCAGAAAGGAAAGAAGGGAGGGAGGGGAAAAAAGAAAAGAGTAGAAGCAGCAAGAAGCAGGCACGCTATATAAACAATTTTCAGGGGTCCTGGGATGAATGAACTATTTGGCATCATAAGAAATTCATAATTAAGAAACTGCAAATAAAGATGAAAAAAACAGGCTGGGCATGGTGGCTCACACCTGTAATCCCAGCACTTTAGGAGGCCAGAGGAGGGCGGATCACCTGAGGTTAGGAGTTCAAGATCAGCCTGGCCAACATGGTGAAACCCCATCTCTACCAAAAATACAAAAAAAAAAATTAGCTGGGCATGGTGAGGCACACCTGTAATCCCAGCTACTCAGGACACTGAGGTATGAGAATTGCTTGAACCCGGGATCCAGAGGTTGCAGTGAGCCAAAATGGTGCCACTGCACTCCAGCCTGGGAGACAGAGCAAGAGTGTTTAAAAAAAAAAGATGGAAAAAACTAAGGCAGTATTAACTTGTAGCTTATTATCATTATCTCTGGAATTAACAACCGGTAGAAAATTGGACCAAAAATTCAATCATACCAAATCACTTTTAAAGCCTCTCTTAACAAACTCATGACCTTTAAACAGGGAAAATTAACAGTTGCAAGACGAAGTCAGAAAATACTTACATTACTCATAGAGCATAAATCAACGAACTGTCGAATTTTATCTTCTATAAATCTCTCATAAAAGACAGCAAAGAACACGATCTGAAACATTAAGCCAAGTTTATGATTATTAGCTTTTAGGATTTTAATTTTCTTTTACAGTCACAGTGTAATATCTTAAGAAAAATAAAGTTCCAACCAAGAGCACAGTGGCCTTTAACAGTTCCTAAGGGATAAAATCCTACTTTTCATTTCTGACTCTTCTGTCAAAGGGAGGAGGATTTTAGAACTGTGTTGAGTCATTGAGGGAGCCTATTTTGAGTTTTGAAAACTTTTCTGTGTCATTAAAACAAGCTATGACAAACATGTGGGAAGAGAGAAAAAGCCTTTAACTCCTCTATTTAAAGCTGTCCCCACTGTCCCCCATTCCTGCCCTCCACTCCCCTCTTTTCTATTTACTCTCTAGCTCATGTCCCTGCTGATCCTCTTCACAGCACTTGGCACAATCTGTCATTTTTTCCTGTAAAAACATATCCATGAGCGCCAGTACATAAGACATACTCAAATATGTGAATGAATAAATGAATCTACAGCAGCTGACTGCTAAGAAGGTTTTTCTACATACTCTCTCTATATATTTTAAATCTCTTTAAAGGATGTGAAAAACAGCAATGTTCAAGGTTTAAAAAATAAAAGATACCACTTAAAAGCTGAAGAGGCTGGATTTAAGGAAATAAAAGGAGTGAACAATGAAGCCTGGCATTATTAGAATGAAGAAGAGTTTAGACAAATTTATTTATTTAATCATTCATTCATTTTATTTTATTATTTTCTGAGACAGGGTCTCACTCTGTCACCCAGGCTGGAGTGCAGTGGTGTGACTTTGGTTCACTGCAACCTCCGCCTCCCAGGTTCAAGCGATTCTCCTGCCTCAGCCTCCCAAGTAGCTGGGATTACAGGCATGCACTACCACACCCAGCTAATTTTTGTATTTTTAGTAGAGATGTGGTTTCACCATGTTGGTCAGGATGGTCTCTATCTCCTGACCTCATGATCTGCCCACCTTGGCTTCCGAAAGTCCTGAGATTACAGGCATAAGCCTCCGCACCCGACCTAACAAATTTATAAAACTGTAATAGGTTGTTAAAGGAACCCTTAAGGATTCTTGACAAATATGTAAACACTGATCATTTTAGATTACAATGGGGAGAAATGCTTTATTATCCAGCTGATGGAAAAGTAAGAAGCAAAGAATGAAGTTAGCTGGTGGTGTCTGAGATTGCTAGGTGCTGTCCCAACGATCCTTTCTCCTTAGTAACAGATCCCTTCCTTGAGCAGTATATACTACCGTCCAGCTGAAAGATTCTAGTGCAGCTAGGCGTGGCCATGCAATTAAGTTCTAGCCAAGAAGTGTTGAAAGGTACTTCTGAAAAGGCTCTTAAAGAGAAGGTGAGCTCACCCACCCTAATTCCCTCCTGTAACTCACTGGCCATCATGGACCATGAAGGGACTGTGGAGATGGAAGTCCCTTGTGGCCAGGCAGAAGGACAGGCTTTGGGGTCCTGACAGTAGCACTAAGCCACCATTCCATTCCAGCCCTGTACTTTCGACCTCTGTTCTTCTTTTTCATGGGAAAGACAAGGATCTCTTTGATTTCAGCCACTCTTACTTTGTTTTTGGTTGTGTTATATTGAACCAAATATGAAAAGCTTCAGATGATATTGCTTTAGACTCTCTACATCTAGACGAATCTGATATACTCACAAAATATATTGGTATATTGTATAAAATATTTCCTTACTATTACATTGATAATAAACGTCAAACCCTATACTCTTTTGATTCTATTTTGTTTCAAATTCTAATATGTTTGTCTTCCTTTCTGGTTGTCAGCTATCTTTCACTAATTCTATCTCTGTGGTTTCAAGTTTGAATAAGTATCATCAATTTAAAATAAGTACACATTTAAAAAGTTAATTCTGCCTGGCGCAGCGGCGCGTGGCTGTAGTCCCAGCTACTTGGGAGGCTGAGGTGGGAGGATCCCTTGAGCCCAAGGGTTCTGGGCTATAGTGTGCTACAGCCCAGATTGGGTGTCTGCACTAAGTTCGGTATCAATATGGGGACCTCCCGGAAGCGGGGGACCACCAGGTTGCCTAAGGAGGGGTGAACCGGCCCAGGTTGGAAACGGAGCAGGTCAAAACTCTGGTGCTGATCAGTAGTGGGATTGTGCCTGTGAAGAGCCACTGCACTCCAGTCTGGGCAACATAGCAGGACCCCATCTCTAAATAAATAAATAAATAAATAAAAATTTAAAAATTAAAAAAAAAAGTTAATCCTCAGATTACTGAATACTAACAACTGGGCCTAATTCTCTAAGAATAAGCTCTCTTAAAAATATTTCAATCCCAAAAGATCAGCTGGGCACAGTGGCTCACACCTGTAATCCTGGCACTTTGGGAGGCTAAGGTGGGAGGAGAACTTGAGTCCAGGAGTTTGAGACCAGCCTGGCCAACATGGTGAAACTCATCTCTACTAAAAATATAAAAAGTAGCTGGGCATGGTGGTGGGTACCTGTAATCTCAGCTTCTCAGGAGGCCGAGGCAGGAGAATCGCTTAAACTTGGGAGGCAGAGGCTGCAGTGACCCAAGATGGTGCCATTGCACTCCAGCCTGTGAGACAACAGTGAAACTCTGTCTCAACAACAAAAAAACTGCTGGGTGTGGTGGCATGTGCCTGTAGTCACAGTTACTCATAAAGCTGAGGCAGAAGGATTGCTTGAGCCCGGGAGGTTGAGGCTGCAGTGAGCTATGATGGCACCATTGCAGTCCAGAATGGGAGACAGGGGAAGACTGTCTCTTAAAAAAAAAAAAAAACCAAACAAACAAAAATCTCAAAGGATCCTTAAAAATAGGCTATTTTAGGTAGATAGCTAGTAACCAGCTATAGGAAATTAAAACTGGTTTCTCTGGAGGTCCTATCTTCAAGTGCTGATTATAAAAGTTAAGGAAATACGGCCGGGCGCGGTGGCTCACGCCTGTAATCCCAGCACTTTGGGAGGCCGAGGCGGGTGGATCACGAGGTCAAGAGATCAAGACCATCCTGGTCAACACGGTGAAACCCCGTCTCTACTAAAAATACAAAAAATTAGCTGGGCATGGTGGCGCGTGCCTGTAATCCCAGCTACTCAGGAGGCTGAGGCAGGAGAATTGCCTGAACCCAAGAGGCAGAGGTTGCGGTGAGCCGAGATCGCGCCATTGCACTCCAGCCTGGGTAACAAGAGCGAAACTCCGTCTCAAAAAATAAATAAATAAATAAATAAATAAATAAATAAAAAATAAAAGTTAAGGAAATTTTTAAGCAAACAGGGGTCTTTGTGTTTATGAGTATCTGAAAGTTAGATGCTTGCCGCTGCTTCTTTCTTTTTCTTTTCTTCCTTTCCTCTTCTTTTTCTTTATAACCTCTGTTAGATTCATGGGACCTGAGCCTAAAAAGACTTATTTTTAGTTTTGGTCATTTCAATAAATATTTCAAGAAAAACTCCCCAAGGAGTACGAGCAATTTGAGTGAGATTAATGATATATAAATAAATGTAAACAATAAGTTATGTTTCAAAAGAAAAGAACATATTCAGGGTAGCTTATCTGTCCCTATATCTTCATATAAACTAAACAAGGAGTCTGTCCTATGACTATAAAGCTGCAGACTCTCAAAGGCCCTTCAGAGCCTCACTATTGACAAGAACGTGAACTCTGAAATCAGGCTGCCTGAGTTCAAATTCCAGTTCTGCCAGTTACAAGTTGCATGACTTTAGGCAATTTTTTAGCCTTCCTGTGTCTCAGTTTCCTCATCTATAAAATAAGGATAATAACAGAGCCTATCTCTGAGGGCTATTATAAATATTAAAACATTATTAGGTATAATGCAATTACAATTGTCCTTTAGTATGTTGGGATTGATTCCAGAACCCCCAAGTACACCAAAATACACCCATACTCAAGTCCCACAGTCAGTCCTGCTACAACCCATGTATACAGAAAGTTGACCCTCTATAGATGCAGAATTTGCATTCTGTGAACACTGTATTTTCTATTCTCAATGAGTTCAGTCAAACAGTTCAAGCCCATGTTGTTCAAGGACCAACAGTAATTATACTTGATCTTAGCTTAAAGGCCAAGAAATGATGGATCAACTGTGACTACTTAATACAGTGCCTAATACAATATAAGAACTGACTACTGGCTGAGTGCAGTGGCTCACACCTGTAATCCCAGCACTTTGAGAGGGCAAGGGGGGTGGATCACCTGAGGTCAGGAGTTCAAGACCAGCCTGGCCAACATGGTGAAACCTCATATCTACTAAAAATACAAAAAAATTAGCTGGGTGTGGTGCTGGGCGCCTGTAGTCTCAGCTACTCAGGAGGCTGAGGCAGGAGAATTGCTTGAACGTGGAAGGCAGAGGCTGTAGTGAGCCAAGATCATGCCATTGCACTCCAGCCTGGGTGAGACTCTGTTTCGGAAAAAAAAAAAAAAAAAAAAAAAAAGAACTGACTATTAGCTCTTGTTCTTGTCACCTTCTTTCTGCTACAGAAATCAGGATGTGGTCAATATTTGATAATAACCAGTAAGTAGGCAGAGTTAATAAATAAGCAATGTTACTTAGAAGTATAATCTCTTATTACCTGTATAATTCCAATGGCTAGCCAAAGAGCAGCAGACACTGCATATCTCAAAATGCGGCTGTAAGGAGCTATATAGCTAGGTGGGCTTCTAGAAAGACTAGAAGATGAGTCCATTAATGCTAAGTTCTTGAATCCCACAACCTGGAGTAAAAAGAAAAAATAATAATTTATACACACATGGACAAAGAAAAGTACTCTAGACTGAAAATGGAAAACCTCTCCCTACTGCTCACCTTGAAAAAAACTAAAAGATCCAAGTTTGTATAAACAGTAGAAGACCTAGATAAAAATAATTATTATTCAGTATTTTAACTACAAAGTATTGGCCGGGCGTGGTGGCTCACGCCTGTAATCCTAGCATTTTGGGAGGCCGAGGTGGGTGGATCACCTGAGGTCTGGAGTTCAAGACCAGCCGGGCCATCATGGTGAAACACCATCTATAAAAAAAAATAAAAATAAAAATAAATAAATTAAAAAAAAAAACTACAAAGTATTTATTACACAATATTTAGTTCAGTTGGTATTGTTCTCAATATGACTAAGGACCAAATATAAAACCTTACTGTCATACACACTCAGTAAACTACCAATGTGTGAAATCAACAACTAGTATTTCATGAGTATTTAACACGTGCCAGCCACTGTACTAAACATATTTATACTTTAAAACAGTATATTACAAAATGTCTTCTAAAGGACATAAGTTCTTTGGAAAAGGAATCCATGTTTAAATACATTTGGTCCATCTATTACACTCACCACCATGCCTCCCACCTTGTAGAATAAAGGCTCTGAGAAGTTTTACAGTAAAAAGTGGCTACATGATTACATTGAATCCAATATTTTCCAAACTTACTTGACTGTAAAACATTTTCACGTAACACCTTTTAAAGCTGAGGAAACACTCTTAAACACACACACAAACAATTTTAGTACAAAAAAAAGAAGTGTGTGAGGTAACAAACTAGCTTAATTTAGCCATTCCACAATCAATACATATATCAAAACACTGTGTTGTAAACTATGAGCATATATAATTTTTATCTATCCACTTAAAAAAAACAAAAGAAAAAAGGAGAGAAAAAAACCAAAATACTACTTCAAGTGAATTTTGCAAGTATTGCTTGTATCATTCAAAAGCCCTAGGGACACAGATGTTCTTTTACTAGTTTTAAAAAAGGAAAGGGGAAAGAGAATGAAAAGAAGAAAAAAAAGGGAAGGCTAACAGACAGAACCTGAAAGTTAATATGTATATTCAACCTTAATTAAGCAGATAATTTCTGAGAAAACCTATTCCTATATAAACGGTTTCCATGTTCAGTCTCATACTCAGTACTGAATACTTCTTTTAATAATTCCAACCAAATCCATGAAATAACTGCAAATATATCGTAAATATGTTGTCTTGTTCAGTCGTAGCCCCAGCTCTTAGCACAGAACATAGTCTATAATAAGTGTTCTATAAAAATTTGTTGAAAAATATCAAAGTTATAATCATGATTCTTTTTTTTTTTTTTTTGAGACCATGTCTCACTCTGTTGCCCAGGCTGGAGTACAATGGTGCAACCTCGGCTCACTGCAACCTCGACCTCCCAGGTTCAAGCAATTCTCCTGCCTCAGCCTCCCGAGTAGCTGGGATTACAGGCACGTGCCACCACGCGCCGCTATTTTTTTTCTTTTTTGTATTTTTAATAGAGACAGGGTTTCACCATGGTAGTCAGGATGGTCTCAATCTCTTGACCTCGTGATCCGCCCGCCTCAGCCTCCCAAAGTGTTGAGATTATAGGCGTGAGCCACAGTGCCCGGCCTATAATAGTGATTCTAATGCAGGGAAGAATATGGATCATGGGGTAGGGAGGTTTTTCAAAATACAGATACCTGGGGTTACCTCAAAGCTACCATATCAAACATAGTCTCTAAGGGTGAGCCTGAGCATAGGTATTTTACAAAAGCTCCCCAAGGGATTCTGATATAAACCATTGGGTTTAAAGCTATTCCTTTCACCTACAGCAGTCAAACACACAGAGAGTATCATAGAATGGTGTTTGCCAGAAGTTAGGCAATTGGTACAGAGTTGTTTAAGAGGTACAGAGTTTCAGTTTTGCGAGATGAAGAATTCTAGAGATGAATGGTGGTGATGATTTTGCATGACAATGTGAATGTACTTAACACTATTAAACTCTACACTTAAAAATACTTATGATGGTAAACTACATAATTTATTTTACCACAATTTTTTTGAAGTTGCTTCTTTTTAATGGCTTCACAACAATCTTTCAACCTTTAGAAAAATCTTCCACTGTCATGAAAACTTAGTTGGAATTATATTAGTTTAATATTTCTAAGGTACATGTAAGTTCCATACAATCACATCAAACAGTTTATACCTCCAAAAAGAAGAGGACAATAAATACTTGAAAGACCGAATTAATTTTTCTCACAGTCTGAATTTCATTCCATTCATTTGCTACAAAATATGTTCTCCATATGCTTACAGGAACAGTGGCACTTCGTACACCACCCTCACCTGGTCAGGGAAATAAAATGAGTAAAAGAGTTTTACCTCCTTTGCTCTGCAAGGGTAGCAAAAGAATTTTGGTACAAATGTTTATTTCAGTTACCTTCAACAGCTTTAAGAACCTTTCCTTTAGGTCGCTCCCAATCAATAAAGAATATATCTATTGTAATCTGGGATATAAGCTTATGCAAAAATTGTAGTGCCTGAGAATGACATATAATAAAACACCTAAGAAAGTATCAGCATTAAGCCTGCTTATGAAACCAATATTGATTCTTTAATAAACATATTGTTATTACAAGAACATAAACTTTTGTGAGTGAATTCACATAAAGTTATAATACCACTAGGGGATCATTAGAAACTCATCAGATAACCTGGAATCCCCAAATTTACAAAATTTTCATATATATATTACTTTACCTTCCCTTTTTTATTTTTTATTTTTTTAAAATAGAGACAGGGTCTCACTATGTTGCCCAGGCTGGAGTGCAGTTGCTATTCACAGTCATGATCCCACTACTGATCAGCACGGGAGTTTTGACCTGCTCCGTTTCCAACCTGGGCCGGTTCACCCCACCTTAGGCAACCTGGTGGTCCCCCACTCCCGGGAGGTCACCATATTGATGCCGAACTTAGTGCAGACACTTGATGGGCATAGCGCACTACAGCCCAGGACTCCTGGACTCAAGAGATCCTCCAGCCTCGGTCTCCCAAATAGCTGGGACTACAGGCATGTGCCACTGTGCCTGGATCCCTTTTTATTTCTTTCTTTAAAATAGAAATACTAAAGGAGGAGACATTTTACCTCTTCCTCACATAGGAGCTTGTATAATTGACTCCTACCCAAAGACTCTAGAAACATACTTTGTTTTATAGATCAGCTGACTTCTTTATAAGTAAAGACATTTTCAACTATAGTTTTTCCTAAAGTTTTTGAATGCTCTTACTGTCTTTTTTTTTTCTATTTCTGCTATTAAGATTTCTGATTTTTAAAGAATGTGTTGTTGAAACACATCTTCCTCATCTACAGAAGCAGTATGTTTAAACCGAGGCATTCTTTCTAGTTGCTGCATTATTGATCAAATGAAGGATAAAAATCTAAGTGTGGGATACTTCACTTAGATAAGCTCCCAGTCAGTGGAAAAAGCAGACACTTAATACTCACAGTACAGTGGGATAAGGACTACCAAAAGGCATATAAAGAGCTTTACCTACATTGATGGAGAACACTGAGTTGGGGATGTGGGGGCCATAGGAAGAAAGGAGCAAAGTAATATGGAGACAGACAAAACAATTTTTAAGATCTCAACACTTTATCCAGAATGGTACCTTTTACCCTTGATTAATGAAGACAAAATTCATGCCTGAAGACATTTTGTCCCATTGTGAATGTATCATCAGACTTTAAAGAAAGTTATATACTAAAATATCATTTTATCAAATTAGTCATAACTCATGTTAACCCAAATAGATTTATAGCTTCTTTGAAAAAAATATTTAAGGCAGATTTTCAGACTGAGTATCTACTATAAATAAAAGTAAATTAACCACATAAAATGATGAAGGCTTTCTTTTAAAACCAAAGTGAATTTCACGCCAAAGATTTTGAAAGCATTTTAATTTTAAAGACTTATTAGTTCATTAGCAGGCCTTTTAATTTGGTAAAACTTACCTTCAGAGCAAAGGCACATCCAACATAAGTGACAAAACGTTCTTCCTGAACTGGCATTGGGAGCAAAACAGAGACAGACTTCTGTGCCTATAATAAAAATTACTTGATTAAATATAATCACACAAAGTTTTTGTTGTTTTGTTGTTGTTGCTTTTTGGAGAGGAGGGTCTCAGTATGTTGCCCAGGCTGGACTTGATTCTGGACTCACAGGATCCTCCCAGCCAAGTCTCCCAATTGAACAAGGTTTTTACTAAGCACAATTGATAAACCAAAAAAGCATAAAAGAGGAAGATAGTGATGTAATTGATAAGCTCAGCACACTCAAGGAGTGGGGAGTTGGGCACCTGTCTTAATACTACTGATCAAAAATTCTCCCAAATAAAAATAGTTCCTTAAAAAGAAAGCTTTTCAATTATTCAGACATTGGCAGTTGGGGTAAATTCAGAAACTCACTCACTTTGAAGAAAATAAGCCAATAAAGACCTGTTCCCACTGTGATGATAAAGAAAACATTGGCCAGATCGCCAGCATAGTACACCAAGAATTTCATAACTGTCTGCAATTAAAAAAAAATTACAGCTGTTTAAGACTCAATATATATACCACCTTTAGTAACACTACCACTTTTATACATCATCCACTCCATTTCTGAAGCCTGTTTCACACATCCACATATGATCAAGCTATAAAGGCCACCTGCATCCCCCTCCTTGCTACCTTTTTGTTCCTTATCTTTCTGTCCATTCCTGGTAGCCTCTTTTTTCAACTCTTCTTGTCTTTCACTATCTAAGAAAGTTGAACTGCTTCCTAGTTTTCTGTTAGTTGAGAATCCTCCACTCTAATCTCTCCTCCACATTATCACCAGAGTTCATTTTCTAAAATGTAAATTGGATTGTGTCACTCCTCATGTTAAAAATGAACAACTCCTCATTGCAGTATAAATTCCTGATCCACAAGGTCTTTCACAATATGGGCCAAAATAACTTTTCATCCTCATCTGCCAGTTCCAGCTGTGTGGTCAATGATTAACCACTCCATTTCATCTTGAATACTTTGTAGAAAATGGGCACTGTTTTACCAAATACTCTTCCTCTCTCTGGCAAGCTCTCATGATCCCTGAGAGCACAGACTATGGCTGCCTTCACTCACTATCACATCCTCCAGTGCCTGGTAGAGTGCCAGACACTTAGACAGTAGAGCCTCATTGACTATTGTGGAATGAATAGACAGCCCCATTTAAAGTTCACTTCTCTAGAAAGCCTTTCTGGACTATCTATCACAAGTAGCAAATCAAGTCCCCCTGCCAATTCCTTAGCTCACTGGATTGGAATCAGAAAGACACTTTGGTTAAAGTTACCATGTAGCCTTTCTCATGTTCTTCATCAACAAAATGGAAATACCTATTACTGAGTTGTAGTAAAAATAAAGTGAGTAGAAAATTTAACCTTTGCCTCCATTTCATCATGTGTAAAATGTGAATAAAAATATCTAACTTCAAAGAGCTATTGTGATTAAGTTATATCATATACATAAAGCTTTATGGATAAATTATATACATAAAGCTTTAAAAAGTACCCAGTACATGGTAAGTATTTTTTAAATGTTTGATAAAAATAAAAGGTTAAACATGAAGTGAAAGTATAAAGTTAATAGAATAAAATGTGGACTATCTTCGTGATCTTGACATAGGGAAGGTTTTCCTAAACAAGATCCTAAAAACACATACCATAACATGAAAATATATTCAGATATGATGATATCAAAACTAAAAGTTTCTGGCCAGACGCAGAGGCTCATGCCTGTAATCCCAGCACTTTGGGAGGCCAAGGCAGGCAGATCACGAGGTCAGCAGGTCGAGACCGGCGTGACCAACATGGTGAAACCCGGTCTCTATTAAAAATACATAAATTAGCCAGGTGTGGTGGCATGCACCTGTAATCCCAGCTACTCAGGAGGCTGAGGCAGGAGAATCACTTGAACCTGGCAGGCGGAGGTTGCAGTGAACCAAGATCATGCCACTGCAGTACAGCCTGGGCGACACAGTGAGACTCTGTCTCAAAAAAACAAAAACAAAAACAACACAAAACAACAAAAAAACTGAGCATTTCTGTTAAACAAAGGACCACATGGATAAAAATAACAGATGGGTCACACATTTCAACATCAGAAACTAAAACACAATTACTGTTTAGAAAATACAAAAAAATCCTTCAAATAAACAAGAAAAACTGGAAACATGAAATGGGTAAAGGATAAGGCAGTTCACAGGGGGAGAAATCCAAACTATTAAAATGTATATGAAGAGTAATCAGAGAAATAAAAATGAAATCAACAATGACATACTACTATATGCCACAAGATTGGCAAAAAATGGAAAGGTTGGAAAAATATCAAGTGTTGCCAAGCATGTGTAGAAATAAGAAGAGCACTGCAGGTAGGAATAAAGACTAACACGCAGTATGATGGAAGAACATGAGGTATGCATATACCATATGACCCAGCAATACTTATCCTCATTACATGCCCCAGAAAAATTCATCCTCTAGCTGTGTCTTATGAGAAGGATTCAGAATAGCCAAAAGAGTAAAATATTCTTTAAAAACTCCTGAGATTATACCTGTAAATCAATCATGGGACTCCCAATGCGCCTCTTCCATCCTGCTGTCTTCAAAAGAGATGCTAAAACAGCTAGCCCACCCAACACACCCAAAGCAATCTAAAAAACAAAAGAACAATTTAGAATTTATGTAATTTCTCTTATCAGTATTCAAAAACACTGTGAACAGAAAGAAGTGCTCAAAAAACCCGTGGGGGACGGGCATGTTGAAAGGACACAGGAGTCAAGGTGGAGAAACTTCTAATGGACAAATCTGGGACCATTTGAAGAAGAAAATAAACTATAATTACTAGAACAAAATAAATATGAGTTCACACTGATTTTAAAATAAATAATTGAATAAATAGTGTGAGCAAAGGGAGAGTTTCTCCTCACAGTAAATTTCCAAATTAAAATAATTAAAAAGTAATTAGGGAAATAGAAAGTCACCATCAGGTAAATATCACAGCGAAACTTTCTGCAGGCAAGAATCACCAATGGATGCTATTTAATAAAATTAGAGGGCAAAAAAAATAATAAGCAGGATGTTTGTATAATTTCAAAGATTCTTCCCCATGAGATCTATCTATGTATCTATCTATCTATTTATTTGAGACAGAGTTTCGCTCTTGTTGCCCAAACTGAAATGCAATGGCATGACCTTGGCTCACTGCAACCTCCGCCTCCCACGTTCAAGTGATTCTCCTGCCTTAGCCTCTCGAGTAGCATGGATTACAGGCGCCCACCACTATGCCCAGTTAATTTTTTTGTATTTTCAGTAGAGACGGGGTTTCACCATGTTGGCCAGGCTGATCTCGAACTCCTGACCTCAGGTGATCCATCTGCCTCAGCTTCCCAAAGTGATGGGATTACAGGCATGAGCCACCATGCCTGACCAAGATACTTATTAATTACAAATGGAAAAATACAGTGGAAAACTCTGCAGACACCATCTTAGCCATGTGATTAAAGTTAACATCACCAGTAAGAAGACATACTGACATCATGCACCTCCTGATATGATGCACTGAGAAGGCACAGTATCACTTTGGTGGCATCTTTTGCCAAAACTATACGAACTCAATTTGATCATGGGAAAATACCAGATAAACCCAAATTAAAGGCCAAAACAATGGACCAGTGCTCTTCAAAAGTGCTAGGGTCATGAAAGACAAAGAAAGACTAAGAATCTGTTACACATTGAAAAACACTAAGGAGATATGACAGCTGAAAGCAATATGTAACTCTAGATTGAGTCCTCAAACAGAAAAAAATTCAATAGTGAAATTCAAATCGTATGTAGATTAGTTAATAGGACTACATCAATATTATTTTCCAGATTATGGTCACTGTACTAAGGTTACGTAAGACGCTAACATTAGGGGAGGCTGGAGGAAGAATATCTGGCAAATTTTGTTCTAGCAACTTTCCTGCACATGAGAAATTATTTAATTATAAAATACACTGTATATATTTTAATAGGTTAAAATAAACTTACATCTGTCTGGATATGTGCTTCTCCATGATCCATTTCATATGTGACTGAGAAAGAAACCTGATATTTAAAACAAAACAAACTAGCTATACTTAAATTACATAATACAAACTTACTTTTATTATAAAAATACATTTGTAGCTGGGTTTTATCATAAACACTATAGTTTTTAACTATCAATATTACTAGAGTTGACCTTTACTTACATGTAAATAGATATGCTTTCGAGAATTATTTGTGCTGCTTTAAATATCTCTTTAATACACATTATAAAGGAGCTCATTAGGAGATAAGTTAGATTCATGCACAAAAGTTTAAGCCAAACTAATCATATTTCATTTTCTGATAGATTTCTGTAACTGAGGAATTTGATTAAGCTTGTACATCAAGAATTTAGCAACTGGATAAACAACCATACCCTATGCAAATTCATCAAAGGTATGAACAAAATTCTTAAAGATACCATACACTGAGACAATGAGACAAGAGAAAGAACCTAGTAAAGGGTCAGAGAAGAGGGCTGTGACGGGTAGGAGAGGAAGATACCTAAGTCTTACCATGGTCACAGAATAGGGAGTTTCAAGGAGGAGGAGGAGGTTGAGTACTGTGTCAAATGTTGTATAAATGTCAAGGTAAAGAAATAAAGCCACTTTGTGGAAATCATTGCTGACTTTGATGAAAGAGGTTTTCTAAGAAGTAAAATGGCAAGACCCAGGCTGCAAATGATGAAAGAGTAAATGGTTGGGAAATGATGGAGAAATAAATGTCAAGCTAAGCAGCTGGCAGAACTGAGTAAAATATTTGGTTGGTTGGTTTTAGTTTTTTTTAAGATAAGGCAATTTGAGAGTTTTTATAAGCAAAGGAAAGGGACTTGTAGAGAGCCTGGCTGAAAGACATTAGGGATAAAACAGGTTATTGGAAAAAGTACTGTAAATGAGGTTAGATAGAAGATTAGTTTAGGAAGAGAGGAGGGGACTTTCTTTCTTAGAAAAAGGAACAAGAACCTAATGTAAGGATTTGGATCTGGTAAAAAAAAATAAACAGAAAAAAGAAAAGAAAAGAAAAAGGAACAAGAAATGGGAAGGGCAATGAAACAGAGATTCTGAAATACTAAAGAGGAAATCTTAAGGAATTTGTATTAGTTGGTCTTGATCTGGTCAAGACCAGGTAAAGAGCAGAGACATAGCTGGATGTTTACAACTGACGTAAAATTTTACAACAGCTGCCATGAGAAATTAAGAAGTGATTAAAGGAATCTATGTTTCATAATTAGAATAATTTGGGGTAGACTTCATCAATGTAGTTTCATGACTTAACTATTTTTTTCTTTTCTTTTTTTTTTTTTTGAGACGGAGTCTCACTCTGGAGTGCAGTGGTGTGATCTTGGTTCACAGCAATCTCTACCTCCCAGGTTCAACTGATTCTCCTGCCTTAGCCTACCAAGTAGCTGAGATTATAGATACCCATCACCATGCCAAGCTAATTTTTTTGTTGTTATATTTTCAGTAGAGACAGGGTTTTACCATGTTGGCCAGTCTAGTCTCTGTAACTCTTGACCTCAACTAATCTGCTTGCCTTGGCCTCCCAAAGTGCTGTGATTACAAACATGAGCCACCATGCCCAGCGGACTTAACGTTTTTCTATTTGTTATTTTTCAATTTTTTAAGGCTCAGTTTAGAATTATTTTGGACAAAAACAGTATTTAAAGAAAAGACTTAGAAGGGTTTTACATTAAAATAAATATATTCTTTTTCTTTTTTCTGGTACGAAGTTTCATTTCTGTTGCCTAGGCTGGAGTGCAATGGCACACTCTTGGCTTACTGTAACCCCTACCTCCACAGTTCAAGCAATTCTGCCTCAGACTCCCAAGCAGCTGGGATTACAGACTTCTACCACCATGCCTGGCTAATTTTGTATTTTTAGTAGACATGGGGTTTCACTTTATTGGTCAGGCTGAAAATCAATATATTCTTGATGGTCCATAATATCACTCCAGGAAGTTTTAAACCAGGCAGGCTTTTATTGTTACCAAGCATGTTTCTAGATTTTCTTTGCCTCTCATTACAGTGTATACAAGCTCACTCAATGGAAACTAATTTTAGCATTGGATTAGGTAATACAAATGAGGATGGAAAATCTTTAAAAGTTATACTATATGTGTATTTTTGCTTAATTAAAGTTTGAATCCAATAGCACTGGAGTACAAGTACCAACACAACACAGAGGCCAAAAGCACAGACTGAACAAACTAGAATATTAAAATTCAGAAGTAAAATAGTAGAAATTCAAAGCTCTTACAGAGTTTGGAGGTAAGAAATGCTTATGCTCCATTTCTCATGTTTTTAGAGAAGCAAGGGAATATCCACTTAATTTCTAGGAGGAAAAACTATAGAAGAATTACCTCTGGTTTTTTTTTTTTTTAACCTCTATCCCTCTCTCATTTAACCCTCCTCAAAGCAGGGATGCTTTATCTGACCGGAGAAGCTGAGAAGAGGAACTGAGTATGCGTGGCTCAACTTCTCTAGGTTCATTCTCTGCAGTGCAGTCTCAGAGGTCTCGCTTCCATATATAGGCGCTCCCAAGCATAATAGGCCTTCTGTCCTGTGTTAAGTTTAATTTAGTTGGGGAAGTAGCGGAAAACTTATTTGGCTGCAGGTCAAAACTACATCCTCTAGTTCACGTTAGCAATACTAGCTATAAAGCTGATAAATATCATCTCTTTCTGCCTGTTGAAGTATGCTTCTATCAAGTGGGTCATAGATTGATGAACACACATACTCCCACTGTAAAGTCTGAGTTCCTGGCTTAGTTGGGCAAAGACATAAAATCTTTTTTTTTCTGAGACAGAGTCTCACTGTCGCCCAGGCTAAGTGTAGTGGCACAATCTCAACTCACTGCAACCTTTGCCTCCCAGGTTCGAGCGATCCTCCTGCCTCAGACTCCTGAGTAGCTGGGATTACAGGCATGTGCCAACATGCCTGGCTAATTTTTGCATTTTTAGTAGAGATGGAGTTTCACCATGTTGGTCAGGCTGGTCTTGAACTTCTAACCTCATGATCTGCTTGCCTCGGCCTCCCCAAGCACTGGGATTACAGGCGTTAGCCACCATGCCTGGCCCACAAAATCTTAACAGCAAGGAGGCCAAAAAGAACAAGAGCAGACATTGCACATCACAGCACATGCCAGGATCCCTAACAAGGACACTCAACTGCTGGTGAGACTTCTACTGAAAACCATAATCCATTCTTACTTTTTTATACTCAGGATCCATAAGAACTCACCTCTTACCATTATGAGTAAAAATTAATTAAGACTTGACTATAAGTAGAGAAAGATTTCTTTAGAACTTAAAAAAAAGACTGTCTTTTGACCCAAATGTAAACTGAATCAGTATTATACTGTATTTATACATATAAAGGCACTGATTAGTCAGGAACTCACCTTTACAGACTGGCTGTTGGCATCTTTGATATCAATGTCACTATAGGCAATGGTGATTAAGGGAGGGTAGATATTTCCATTTATTGTGTTGGGTACAAGGCGGATGCTATTTAAAAGAAAATACATTTATAGTAATCAGTATATCCAGGCCCTTAAACATACATTTAACTTACCATTTCTTTTGAATTTAATATGAATTGTCTGATGATCTCAGAACTAACCAGTTAACAAGGACCAAGGAAGGTTACACATAAACTAATTATGACAACACAAGCTACCTCAAGTGGTCAAAACTTAAAATATACCATCTGATTATGTAAGAAAAAACAAACCAAAAATGTACCATCTGAGATAAATTAGAAGCTCAATCTAAGTCCTATGAAGTTTACAAATGAAATCACTGAAGCGCTATAAATTATATTTGAGGAATAATCAAAAGTACATGAAGCCTGAAGACAGGCAGATAAGATCTTGATTTTTTTATTTTTTAATTTTTATTATTTTATTATTATTATTTTTTATAAGCCGGGGTTTCACCATATTGGTCAGGCTGGTCTCAAACTCCTAACCTCAGGTGATCTACCTGCCTCAGCCTCCCAAAGTGCTGGGATTACAGGCGTGAGCCACCGTGCCTGGCTAAGATCTTGATTTTCAAAAGAGAAAGATGAATTCTTAACAAAATAACAAGTGATAAGCCAGGTGCAGTGGCTCATGCCTATAACCTCAGCGCTTTGGGAGACCAAGGTGGGAAGACTGCTTGAGCCCAGGAGTTCAAGGCCAGTCTGGGCAACATAGCAGGACTCTTGTCTCAAGATAAATTAATAAATTTTTTAAATGAAAAAAAAAAAGTATGAGTTATAATATGGTTATGGCACAAAGTGAGGTTCATTTTACCAAATTCAACATATTAGGACTGCATAGTTCGTGAATTCAAAAAGGAAAGTGCCAATCAGTAGGGGTCAGCATGGTTTCATCAAGAACACATCAAGTCTGACTAGGTTCATTTTCATTTTTATTAGGGATTCCATATTAGCAGATTGAAGAAATGCTGAAAACATAGTACATTTGGATGTCAGCATGATATATAACAAAGTTTCTGCACTGTTTATCTCATAAGATTATGAAAATTAAAATGAAATTACTGAAATAAAAGTATGCTGAAGTACTTCAAAGTACCAAACTACCGAGAGATGATGGTGTTGATTTTCATCACTGTATTCAAGGTACACAACCTAAAACATTAGGGTAGGAAAGTCACTAAGATTTTAGAGATCTCACACTGGAAAAGACAGAAAAATATAAGTGGTATGGTACTCTCCTAAGGTAGGATCATAGGTTATCCTAGGAAGAAGGAGGTGTTGATAATTAATACAGGTAAACCTAGAAAAAACGCCAGTGAAAGAAATGAGGAAAGCGGGGTCCTAAAAATTAACAACCATCTCGCAGGCTCTTTCTAAAACACCAGTTTCAGCTCACTGGTATTTACTTAGCTATTTGCAATGCATTCTAATTCAGCAGGTCTACATGGGACCTAGAATGTGAATTTTACCTAACTCCTCACACTCCTCTGTTACAGTTTTCCCCTTGGCTATTCACTTTTACTGGTCTATGCCAATCTACACGTATACCTAAAATAACCTGACCAATTGTTCCAATTCAGTTGTCCTTAATGTTTTCATCTACTAATGACTGGCAAACACTTCCATTATGACATTTTCCCATAAATATCATTAGACATTTGTTTACCTCAGTGATATTTGGGTAGCAACTCGAATTACTCTTGGCTGACTTCCTAAGTCATTTTCTCGTCCACTTACTGCATCCACTAAGAAAATGCGCCGAGTTAGAAGCCACTTGCCAGGGTTGCTGTCTTTTATTATAAAAAGAAAAAAGTTTATTGAACAAATTTAAAACACAAAATTATTGTTTTAGATAGGATGGCTGCAAGAAGCTATTGGTATAAGAAACACCTGACAATGGCCTTCTCTAACTCATGTGAATGTCTTCTTTTGTTGTTTTTTTAGATAGGGTCTCACTCTGTTGACCAGGCTATAGTGCAGTAACATGATCATTGGCTCACTGCATTCTTGACCTCCTGGGCTCAAGTGATCCTCCCAACTCAGCCTCCAGAGTAGCTGGGACTGCAAACGGGTGCCACCACACCAAGCTAGTTTTTTTTTTAGCAACAGGTTTTCATTATGTTGCCTAGGTTGGTTTCGAACTCCTAGGCTCAAGCAATTTTCCCGCCTTGGCCTCCCAAAGTAATGGGATTATAGGTGTGAGCCACCACATATTGGACTTGAATGTCTTCTGATTGTTTAAACTTTTCATAAATTTGGAAGGCTTTTCCCTGCAAATTACCTGAAAAAGCAGGATTTCATAACACGAATAACAACAAAAGAAACTAATTTGTCCAAAAAAGCATATTCAGGACAGCTTGAAGAAAAAGCCCCAATTTACAGCTCTACTAATGTTTCTCAGGATACACCCTTAGCAACAGTATAATTTCTTAACAATATGTCTGGCAATAAAATTAGTAAAAATTTTTGAATCCACCAGCAATTTATTGTTTTAATTTTTGGCATGCTGTATTGAACCATGTAAGAGAGAATTCATGACCTTTCTTATAATCAGTGGTTTATTAAATTATCATGTGGGTTAAATTATTTATTGATTTCTGCTTAGGGAAAGAGTGGTATGTATGGATGTCTTACCTTGGTTCACAAACATCTTATTGTGCTGAAGATTTAGGTTTAACACAGGCACAGCCAAAATATATTGATGTTGATTTTCATCAGCATATTCAAGGTACACATCATAAAATATAGGAGTGGGAAAGTCAGTCAAGATCTTAGAGATAGGAATCTCACACTGAAAAGTAAAATTAGAAATAAAAGCATATAAAACAGCAACTTAAAGTACTAAAAAGTAAAATAAAAAGATAAAAGATCACAACTGAAAATTAGCAAGCACATTTATTATCTTCAGAGTGTTTTTCTAGCTTTGCAAAATATCTTTATGCTACCTTGTCTATATGCATTTCCATTTGGCTTCCAAAGCATGAATACTGTAAATACAATTATTTTATAAGGACCAAAAACACCAACAGTAAAGAACTGCTTTTTTCTTGAGCCTCAACTCAGATGAAGAAGGTATGCCTTCATTGTCAATATTAAGTGTACATCCATGAAAAGGTTTAAAACTACTGTTCTGTGGGATAAAGTCCCAATTTTTTTTCCTGATGTACAATGATGCCTACAATCTGGCTTCCATTAACCAAGCCAGGCTTATCTCTCATTACTCCCTATCAGTCTCTGATGGTCCATTCATACTAATTTACTTGCAGTTTCTGAATATGCCATGCTATTCTATGTCTCTCTGTCATTGCAAATGCTATTCTATGTCTTTCTGTCTGACATTTCCTTCCCCACTGTGTTCTCCTGGCAAACTCATATTCGTTATATAAGCCCAAACATCACTTACTTTGTGAAGCCTTTCTATAGTTCCTCAGAAATCAGTACCTTGTACATACCTACAGAATGACAATTACCACATTCTTTGCAATTCTTTGTCTATATAACTGTTCTGCCCACTAGGCTATGAACTACTTGAGAAGCAGCCAGGTTCAATGAAATTAAAATGCTTTTTAAACCTGATGGAACACTGGTTCCACAGTTTATGTGACAGAAGACTTTGGGTAAATTACCCAATTATTTGGCATTATTTCCTCATCTGGAAAGCAAAGATATTATGTATCTCACATAGTTATTTTATAAATCAAACGGGATAATGATGATAAAATGCTGAGCACATAGAGACAGGCATTGCATAAGTGTTGATCTTCCTGGCCTATGTTAGAAGCACAATAACATTTATTTTAAAAACAATAACAGGGCTGGGTGTAGTGGCTCACGCCTATAATCCCAGTACTTTGGGAGGCCCAAGGCAAGTGGATCACGAGGTCAGGAGTTCAAGACCACACTGGCCAACATGGTGAAAACCTGTCTTAAAAAAAAAAATTTTACAAGGGAGGGGAATGTCACATACCGGGCCTGTTGGGGGCTGGGGGTCTGGGGAAGGGATAGCATTAGGAGAAATACCTAACGTAGAGGACAGGTTGATGGGTGCAGCAAACCACCATGGCACATGTATACCTATGTAACAAACCTACATGTTCTGCACATGTACCCCAGAACTTAAAGTATAATAATAATTTAAAAATTAAGAAAAGCAAAAAACAAACAAACCAAAAGCAACAACATGTAAATCGTTTCTGACAGAAGTAAATTTATGTTCATGGTAGAAAATTTGGAAATTATAAAGAAGGAAACAAAAATAATTTCTAACCTCACTATCTGGACGTAACCAATGTTAAAAATGTTTATTTTCTTCCAATCCACTTTCCATAATGGTATTTTTTGTTCTGGTTTTGTTCTATGGTTGTATGTGAAACTTTATCACGAAGGATTTTTACAGACTAACGAAATGACATGGTTTGGCTGTGTCCCCACCCAAATCTCATCTTGAACTGTAGTTCCTATAATCCCCATGTGTCATGGGAAGGACCCAGCGGGAGGTTAATTGAATCATGGAGGCAGTTACCCTCATACTGTCCTCATGATAGTGAGTGAATTCTCATGAGATCTGACGGTTTTATGAGGGGCTTTTCCCCCTTTTGCTTGGCACTTCTCTTCCTGTCACCATGTGAAGAAGGACATGTTTGCTTCCCCTTCCACCATGATTGTAAGTTTTCTGAGGCCTCCTAAGCCATGTTGAACTGTGAGTCAATAAAACCTATTTCTGTTATAAATTACTCAGTCTTGGGTGTGTCTTTATTAGCAGTGTGAGAATGGACTAATACATGCATGTCTTTCAAGTATTTAATGGCTCATAATATTCCTTAGTAAGATAATGTTATTTCAAAATAGGTATCAAAGTAAGGAAGGTCAGAGGAGAAAGAAAAGAACTGAGAAAGATGAAGGAATTATTTTTGTTATTAGGGGGTAGAAAAAGAAGGTAATAACTTTTTATTAGTCATTTTTTTAAAAAGTAGTATTTTGATTGGTCCGAAGGTGTTAGTGAGTTATCTCAGTTGATTGTTCAGAGTCAGTTACAGATGGAACTCCTTGTTCTACTCTTTCCCTCTTCTCACTATTGCACTTAACTAGTCTTTTATTAAAAAAAAAAAAAAAGTAGTATTTTTACTGTATTTCCAAATGCTCAGAAATAAACATTACTTTTTAAGACCTATAAGCCTAGCCAGGCATGGTGGCTCACACCTGTAATCCAAGCACTTTGGAGGCCAAGGTGGGTGGATCACCTGAGGTCAGGGGTTCAAGACCAGCCTGACCAACGTGGTGAAATCCCGTCTTTAAAAAAAAAAAGACCTATAAGCCTAGAAGCAGATAAACAATTTATTATGAAGATACAACATTATATGCTGTTTAAGACTCTAGGCCGGGTGAAATGGCTCACACCTGTAAATGGCTCCAGCACTTTGGGAGGCCAAGGCTGGTGGCTCACCTGAGGCCAGGAGTTTGAGACCAGCCTGGTCAACATGGCAAAACTCCATCTCTATGAAAAACACAAGAATTAGCCAGGTGTGGTGGTGCATGCCTATAGTTCCAGCTACTCGGGTGGTTAAGGCACGAGAATTGCTTAAACCCAGGAGGCAGAGATTGCAGTATGAGCCGAGATCTCACCACTGCGTTCCAGCCTGGGTAACAGAGTGACACTGTCTCAAAAAAAACTATAGATAACAAGATGCTCTGTTTATGCCACTTAAATTAAGATTTTCTGTACCCAGATAAAAAATTATATTAGTGAAATTATTCATTACTATTAAAAACATTTCCAATCTCAAAAATTTAACTATTATTCCAATTACTGTTGATGTGATATTTTGAAAAATAAAGCTAAAATATAAACTAATATAGTTCAGACTTACATTTTGTTGGTAGGTTGTTCCAAATGAATAAGCAGCATTGAGCCTTGTCTCTGTGTCTGGACAAAGCTACAGTAAAAGAATACAATAGATAAATATCTCTCACAACTATTTTCTATGCTTATACTCAAGAGTTCTCAAACCCAAACATGTATATATGCTCTACATAACACTTATTTAATGTATTAAGGATATGAAAAGTTAAGGGATTATAAATTAAAGTCATAACTTTAAAAGAAAGAAACTTAAGAAATTTTCGTTTAAAGCACCAGGAAAAAAAAAAGTCAACTGCAGTATGTAACTGATGCTCTATTCATACAATAATCTAGTCTTTTCCTCTTGTCTTTGCCTCAGGCAAAATCTAGTCTTTTCCTCTTGTCTTCTCAGGCAAAGCCTGAGGCAAAGACAAGAGGAAATAAATAAGGCACATTATTAATTCTTTAACTAGAATCATGCTTACCTGTAAAACACCTCCTTCTAAAGTTTGCCACTTGAGAAAATTTCCTCTTATATCATAGGAAGCAGCAACAAACTTCAGTTTTGTATTCTAATTAAAGAAAACAAGAGCAAAATCAGGTCAAATACTCTGAAAGTAATACAGTAGCCTATAAAGAAATTTTCATTGTTGATTCAACTTTTTTGTTGAAAAATTACATTCAATTACCTTTGTTTTCAGGCTTAATCTATTTTTATGACTAAATACACCTAAAATAATTGGACTGGTTTTTTGCATGAAAATTATTATTCTAGAATTGAGAGGCAACACTACTGATAGATAAGCTCCTTTCGAACCTGTTAAATGGGAGGCAGTGTAGGAGAATAGTATCTGCTCAGTCTGGAAGCTCCAAAAATTAGAGGTGGGAATTTGGCCCTGTGAAGTGCTGGGCAATGTCACAGGGCCCCAGTCAATCCTTGGAAGCACTTCTTTAAGATATGAAAAAACAGGATAGAGATTTTTGCATTTGGTGATGAAAACTACTCTTCCCAAACCTACAAGTACTGTGTCTTGCCATAACCACATAATCTAGAAGTATCCATATATTCAATAAGATAGCTAAACTCTATACTGTTTAGTTCTTATAAGTTGCTGACATTTATATTTAGTTTAGTAACTGAGTTTGTAGCAACAACCTAAAAAGACAAGAATTGTAACTTTTTTATTACCTTTTAAAATTGTAAATCAAAATGTAGTTATCCTCTAATGATATTAGAGACTTTTACCTGGTTTTCTCCTTTGAAACTGAAATTTGTAGGAAGAGAAGTAGTACTGAGCACTTGAGGTGCTAATCCTAACTGGTCTCCATAAAACAGCCAAGGAAGATTCTGTCTCCTATGAACAGTTACAACTGTTTTAATAATGGAGAATAAATATTTCTTATTATTAATATTTGTGAATATATTAATATAATGCATTCAGTAAAAATAACATTTCATTAATCAAAATATCCTTACCAAAATGAAATAGAATGAATAGCGCTCAGTCCAGCAGCATTTTCAAAGATAAACTGAAATAGTCGACACGCATCAAATGTGGCAGAGTTGTAAGAATTCATGTTCATCACACACATATTTCCAAGAGCTTGACAAGATGTTAGATTGGCATATACCTATAACAGAACAATGGCAAAGAAAAGTAACATGAACCTGAACAGTCTATACAAAAGTTCATATAAAAATTTTACTTTAATTTTACTTATTCTAGGCCAGATGCGGTGGCTCATGCCTATGATCCCAGCACTTTGGGGGGCCGAGGCAGGCAGATCACTTGAGGAGTTTGAGACCAGCCTGGTTAACGTGGTGAAACTCTGTCTCTACTAAAAATACAAAAATTAGCTGAGTGTGGTGGCATGCACCTGCAGTCCCAGCTACCTGGGAAGCTGAGGCAGAAGAATATCTTGAGCCCAGGAGGCAGAGGTTGCAGTGAGTTGAGATTGTGCACTCCAGCACTCCACCCTGGGCAACAGGGTGAGACTCTATCTCAAAAAAAAAAACCATTTTTTTTTTTTTTTTTTTTTACCTATTATACTAATTCTTTTTTTTTTTTTTTTTTTTTGTATTCTTTTGCTTGTTAAAAACCTTTCCTCTGGCTTAAGTAGAAAATAAACTTTCCACATGGGAAGAGAAATAACATGAACATTTTAATTGCAAATTTTAGGCTAAAATATAAAGACAAGAAACTGAAAGAAGAACTAAAGAAAAACTCATAGCACAACATTTAAAAAAAAACAATTAGACTATATTTGGAAGAATAATAATTTGTATATTAGAGTTTACACATAAAATCTAATCTATTTTGTTTAAGTAATCTGCTCTATAAACAACAAAATAAGATCATTTGTTGAGTTTGCCTCTCAACCTTCTTCCTTAGTTTTCCCTATCAGGAGAGGGCAATTCCATTTTTACACTTATTCACATGAAAAACTTTGAACTTTTTTTCTCCCTTGCCCCATATCCAGCTCATGAATAAATCCTGTAAGCTAAATCTTCAAAGCATAGCTGAAAGTAAACCTTTGTCTAATTTCCATAGTACCACTTTGTGCAATGGTCCACTATCTCTCACTCAAGTTCCTCTAATACTCTCCTAAATGGTCTCCCTGCTTCTGTCCTTATCCCAACAAATTCTGTTCTCCATGCTACAGTAATCCTTTCAAAAGCTGAAGTTCTATCATGTCTTCCTTTGTATGAAATCCTTTTATCTCCCTTAAATTAAGCCCCAGGTCCTTGCCATGGCCACTCCCTATATCCCTGACCTCATCTTCACTCCACTTTTCCTGCTCACTCTGCTCCAGCCACTCCAGCCGTCTCCTTTTCTCTTAAGTATGAATAAGTCAGTAAACTCTGCTTTGAGACCTTTGCTCCTGCTATGGTTTCTGCTTACAATACACTTCCCCTCGATGTTTACATGGCTCACTCACACTGTTTTCAGTTCTTTGCTCAAATATAGCCCTCTCAGAGGTGTCTGCCCTGATCACTACATAAAATAGCATCCCCCACCCCCTCTATGTTCTTTACTCTTAATTATTTGCCTTCATAGCACTTAGCACAACCTGACATTTACTTAGACTGTAACTCCATGAGGGATGTTTTTCTCTTTTTCTAAAATATCTAACCTGATTTAAGAACTGGGCCTGGCACACAGTAGGTCATCAATAAACACTTACTAAGTGACAGTCAGTTTCCCCTAACACTCATTTTCAGCTAAAAAAGCTTGGAGACATTCAATTTGTATATATTAAATAACATCTTCTTTATGTATTCTCTTTCAGCCCACTAGAAAGGGCTTATTCTTCTTATAAAATTATGACCAAGATGCTATAGCTACTTAGAAACTTTTATTATCTGGGTAAAAAAATGGTACAATTCTTCAAAATGAAATGAAATTTATTTAAAAAATTCAAACTTACCCAACATGCAGCTGCCGATGATTGCAAATACTTTGCAAACCATTCTGAAGTTAAATACATGCCCTGTAAACAAAAAGATAAATTTTATTTTTAAGTTCGAATGATGCCAATATGCATATTGCTGAATGAGAAGTGTCTCACATTACTTTCACAATGTTAGTGGAAAAACAGATACTAATAGGAACACAAAAATTGATTTTTAACCAATGTCAGTTATTATAAATAGGACTGCATTACAAAATCATGACACTTAGGCAAAAGTTATAAAGAGACAAAATGGGTCTATAATCCAAAAATACTACATGCCTATTTCACTAACATAAAAAATATAGTGGCAAACAAAAGAAAAAATAATAGATCCTGACTTACTATTGAGTGGTTAATATTTATTGGCTTAGAATTATTATAAATACTGTAACAAATTGGCAAGCAACAACAACAACAAAAAAAATGGGGGAAATCATTTCAAATCTCCAAAATGGTGCTTCTCAAACAATGGTGGGCATCACAATCACCCGCAGAACTTTCTAAAAGCAAAAAATGACTGGCTTCATCACAAACAAAAAAGAATCAGAGTCTCCAGATGAGATCAAGGCAATTACATGGGTTTTGAAGGCCATAGATAACAAAGCCATGGTTAAAAACCATTGCTTTAAAGCTTATCTGCACATCTTGCTAAAATATGAGAAACTAAGAAGCACCATTCAGAGAAAATTGTCTGGGAATAGACAGAAATGATATAACTAAATTACATGAACATGGGACCACAGCGATAAGATAAATCTATAATAAAAATATGAGGTACTATTTTCTTATCTTTAATAGGCAAAAAATATTTTGTAAGAAAAAAACATGCACAGAAGGCTGAAGAACACACACACACACACACACACACACACACACACACAGGTAAAAATGGAATGCAACACAACAGTACTGACAAATGTATGTAAAATGGAGCCATATATAATGCCACTGATAATGTAAAAGTTGCATGATACTTTTATAAAGCAATATCCATATACTCTAACCCAGAAACTTAGAAACATTTAGGAAATTTATCTTAAGGCAATTATCACTCCAAATGGGAAAACATATTTAGTGCATAAAACGATTGACAGCAATATAATTAATAACTGAAAACCTAAATATTCTCTGGAGATACAATTATACAAATTTTAGTGCATAAGCCAGAATATTATGGAACTATTAAAAAATATAATATACAAAGTGAGTCTGGAACATGGTATAGAGAAACCAAGGAAACACCTAAAGTCTAAAGAAGTCACATCAAAACAACACAGGAGCTATGCTGAAAGGAAGTTCAAATTTGGTACAACTTGAACTTCGAAAAGAAGAATACCAGTAATAGATTATAACACCATGAATAAACAAAGATTCTATGAGTTCATAATAAAGCTTTAAAAAGAAAAAGCACAGAGAAAAAGTAAACTGCTTCTACAGACAATTGCTAGCTAATAAATGTAGAGGGAATAATAGGGTTTTTATCGGAAATAACCAGTTTAATAATTGATACAGGCAAGATTCATTAATGAATGCTAAAATGGATATTTATATAGTCTCAAAGTTAAATTTCAGACTAAAGTATTAATCACAGTACCTTTACAATGGAAAGAAGTGGCAGACACAACTATGACCAAGAAATCAAATTTTTTTTTTTAAAGACGGAGTTTCACTCTTCTCACCCAAGCTGAAGTGCAATGGCGTGATCTCAGCTCACTACAACCTCCAGCTCCTGGGTTCAAGCGATTCTCCTCCATCAGCCTCCCAAGTAGCTGGGGTTAAAGGAGCCTGCTGCCACACCTGGCTAATTTTTATATTTTCAGTAGAGACAGGGTTCCACCATGTTGGCCAAGCTGGTCTTGAACTCCCGACCTCAGGTGATCCACCCACCTTGGTCTCCCAAAGTGCTGGGTTTACAGGTGTGGAGCTACCACACCCGGCCTAGCTATCAAATTTAGTATCACCAATAACTGAACAACCTGACAGACATTACATCTCCTTGTTGTGATGCAATGGGCTGTATCTGTATACAACATCTATATAATATCTTGCAAAAATGTGTTTCACTGAGTCTAATAATGAGAAAACAACCAGAAAAACACAGAAGAGAAAATCATAAAAGCAAAGTGAAGCAGGGATCTGTTCTAGACTAAAGGACACTAGAAAGACTAACTGCAATGTGTGATCCTTGACTGGATCCTAGGTCTCAACATAAACTAATAAACATGTATTCTGGTTTATCAATTAATCTAATCTCTTCTGAGTTTAATTACTGTAAACAATTCCTTAAAATCTGACTGACCTACAAATACTTGGATAAAACTGAGTTCTCATTCTTGCAAACTGAGGACTAGGTGAGGGTAGTCAAACCATCTTAACTAGATTTTGCTTATATGATTCTTTTTTTTTTTTTTTTTTTTTTTTTTAAAGATGGGGTTTCGCCATGATGGCCAGGCTGGTCTTGAACTCCTGACCTCAGGTGATCCATCCACCTCGGCCTCCCAAAGTGCTAGGATTGCAGGCTTGAGCCACCACGCCCGGCCTGCTTATATGTTTTATAAACTGGCTACACGGAACCAGTCTGAACATCAGTTGCAACATGACTTAAAATCAGGAATTCCAAACCTGTCCTTAGGAAAGAATCGGTGTTTAGAACCGGTATGTTTAGCGCACAATTGCTGTGGTGATGTCATGCTCTCCCTAGCCAGGTCTGAGCCTTGACAGATGAGGGACAGACATTCATGGCAAATGGGACCGCTCTTCTCATTCCTCCTATGGGCCCCTCGCCTCTCCTCCCTGCCCTTGGGAAGTGTGTGGGATGCAAGGATGCATAATCCAGCTGACCTTGAGACCCCACCCTCTGCCTCGTGACATTGGCAGTACTAGGGGGGTCATCTGAGGCAGCAGGCACCCATTGCTGGCCTCTTATGGCCGTTGCCTTGCAGGAGGCCCTTCTTTTCAGTAGTAGGAGCTACCCCACCAGCCTGTCAGGCCGCCCTTCCCTGCCCACGCCGGTGTTGCTCTGCTAGACTTTTGCAGTTCTCCTGGGGCGCTCCAGTTGTCCCTCAGGTGGCCCAGGCCCAATGGTGGTGTCGTTCCTGTTCCCAGTGCCCCATCCTCCAGTCACCAATGCAGTGTCTGCGTGTGGGACCCAAAAAGTACTGGGGAGGGTTGAGGTGTTTGTTTTTTTTTTTTAATTTAGTTTTAATTTTTAAAAATCTGGTTTGTTTAAATGAAATACATTAACTGAATCAGAACAACATTAAGGATGGAACCTCCCTACCCACCTATCAAGGAAGTCTACAATGAGTCAACTGCATGGTGCTATCACAGGAGGGAGAATGTGGAGGTGGAAGAGAAAGTGAGGTGGTTGGAAGATTGGTTACATTGACCATATGAATAAATAGAGTATCGATAATGAACCCCAGATTTTCACCACTGGAGAAGATATATAAAACCTATCAAAAGGAAAGATTAGAAAGAACCCTGAGGTATTGCTTCAGAATTGAAGGTATCTGTATCAGCTATTTTTATTTTATTTTATTTATTTATTTTGAGATAGAGTCTCACTCTGTCACCCAGGCTGGAGTGCAGTGGTGCGATCTTGGCTCACTGCAACCTCTGCCTTCCAGGTTCAAGCAATTCTTCTCCCTCAGCTTCCCAGTAACTGGGATTACAGGTGTGCACCACTATATCCAGCTAATTTTTATATTTTTAGTAGAGACAAGGTTCCACCTTGTTGGCCAGGCTAGTCTCAAACTCCTGACCTCAAGGGATCCACCTCGGCCTCCCAAAGTGCTGGGATTACAGGTATGAGCCATTGTGCCTGGCCCATTTATTTTAGTATATATACACAGACATAGAAATAATCATAGATGTGTATATGTATATTTGTGTATATTTCCTAGCTATGTTTGCTGAGAGGACATAATAAGTGTGTTAATCTTGGTTTCTAAATATTATCCTTCAAAACTAATTAAAGAAATGGTTGACTCCAGCTGGGTATGGTGGCTCATGCCTATAATCCCAGCACTTTGGGAGGCCGGGGCAAGCAGGTCACCTGAAGTCAGGAGTTCAAGACCAGCCTGACTAACACGGACAAATCCCATCTCTAGTAAAAATACAAAAATTAGCTGGGCATGGTGGCACATGCCTGTAATCCTAACTACTTGGGAGGTTGAGGCAGGAGAATCGCTTGAACTCAGGAGGTGGAGGTTGCAGTGAGCTGAGATCGAGCCATTGCACTCCAGTCTGGGCAACAAGAGCAAAACTCCATCTTAAAAAAAAAAAAAAAGAAATGGCTGATTTCAGGGCTGAAGGAGGAAAAGTGGAAAAGTACAAGATCAACCTAGAAATCTTGTTGTATCATAAAGTAAGCAAATGTTGAAAGAATGATGAGGACATGTCAAAAAAAAAAAAAACATGCAGGTGCCAACTTGAAAGGACTTTTATTGGTCAGATATAGGACAATTTGAGCATCAAAACAAATAATGAGTACACTAGATTATAACTAACTGAATAAATTAGAAACCCATAAATCCACGTGTACATTAATTTTTTAAAATAAGTATATAGTCTGGGTGTGGTGGCTCATGCCTGTAATCCGAGCACTTTGGGAGGCGGAAGGGGGCAGATCAAGAGGTCAGGAGATTGAGACCATCTTGGCCAACACGGTGAAACCCTGTCTCTACTAAAAATACAAAAAAATTAGCCAGGCGTGGTTGCACGCACCTGTAATCCCAGCTACTCAGGAGGTGGTGGCAGAAGAATCGTTTGAACCCCGGAGGCGTAGGATGCGGTGAGCTGAAATCGCACCACTGCACTCCAGCCTGGGTGACAGAGAAAGACTCCATCTCAAAAAAAAAAAAAAAGTAAGTGTATAAATGGGGAAGAAGAGATAGTTCTTCTTTACAATAGCATGTCAATTAATAAATGTGGAAGTAATCAAATGTGGGTGGAAATCAAAAATTAACCTTTGGCAACCATCATCAACAATGGAGACTAATGCTAGTGGGTTAAGGGTTAGTGAGGAAGTGTCATTTTAGAAATACTCCTCACAAAATACTAATCAATTACAAATGGAAAACGGTAACTTTATGGTAGCCATCGTGACTTTAGGGCAGGTGATCAAAGTTAACAGCACCAGTGGTGGCACGGGTAGATATTGTGTGCCCCTGGATGTGATGCAGTGCACTAAGAAGAACATGGCATCTTTTTTGTGGCTTTTAGCCAAGCAGGTACTGAATATGAGGAAAGTATCTGTAGGATGGTAAGGCCTGTAATCTTCAAAACTGTTGCATTCATGAAAAACAGGAAACACTGAGGACCTGGTTCCAGATTGGAGGAAGCTAAAGGGACATCGCCACTAAGTGATTGGGGATCTCAGACCAAAAAGAACAAAGAGCCATTGTTGAGATTTCCAGCAAAATTATTTCAACTTATTTGAAAAAAGAAAAAAGGAAAATTAATACCTGCAAATTTAATAGTCATATACACACATTCACTCTAATCTGGAGAAGAATGACCCAGAAGACATGTACCTTGTTACAGATGAGCCAATTATTAGGTAATCTCAGAGCTCCCTATGTATACACCTATTTTAGCTTTTATTTTGTTGTCTTGTAACTACTTTGTACTTGCCTGTCTTCTTCACAAGACTATACTGGAGGAGAGGAATTTTTGCTTGATTCATCAAGATCCTAGATCCCAACCTTATCATTGCTACCCTCACAGTCCCCTTAATCACTCCTATATTCAATAATATTAACAATAATGATATTAACAACCATATCACAGCCTGTCCACCCCAAGCTCTGACATACTAAGGCATCCTCAATGTTTGGAATTCCTATTCTAACTCCTAGTTATCTAACTCTTGTTCTCTTGGATTTGTGATCTCTTCAGTTACAATTCATCTACTTACTTTCCATTTTATACCCTAGAACTAGTTATCACCAGCATCTGTTGCCAAAGCTCTAACTCTAGGCCTCAGTAATCTCATCCATAAAATAAGGAACAGTCTGGCCAAATAAGAATAATCCTGGCCAGGCGAGGTGGCTCATGCCTATAATCCCAGCACTTTGGGAGGCTGAGGTGGGCGCATCACCTGAGGTCAGGAGTTTGAGACCGGCCTGGTCAACATAGTGAAACCCCATCTCTACTAAAAATTAAAAAAAATTAAGGCCAAACACGGTGGCTCATGCCTGTAATCCCAACACTTTGGGAGGCCAAGGCGGGTGGATCACCTGAGGTCAGGAGTTCGAGACCAACCTGACCAACAAGGTGAAACCCCATCTTTAAATAGATTAAAAAAAAAAGAAAAAGAAATTAGCTGGGCATAGTGGCTGGTGCCTGTAATCCCAGCTGCTCAGGAGGCTAAGGCAGGAGAATAGCTTGAACCCAGGAGGCAGAGGTTACAGTGCCACTATACTCCAGCCCTGGCAACAGAGCTTCCATCTCCAAAAAAAAAAAAAAAAAAAAGGAAAAAAAAGAATAATCCTGATTTATCTAATGCTTACTATATACAGGCACTGTGATAATGGTACTTTCATTATGACAAATTTACAGACAATAAACTGAAGTTTTAGAACTTTCTCAAGGTTCAAGGACACAAAACTAATGACCTCAAATCCAGGCTTCAAATCTAGAGTTTCTGGTGCCCTTAAAAGTATTATGTATGTATGTATGTATTTATTTTTTTAAAAAAAGATGGGGTTTCACCGTGTTGGTCAGGCTGGTCTTGAACTCCCGACCTCAGGTGATCCCCCAGCGTTGGCCTCCAAAGTGCTTGGATTACAGGCATGAGCCACCACGCCTGGCCGTATTTATTTATTTTTTGAGAGGGAGTCTTACTCTGTGACCCAGCTGCCTGAGTAGCTGGGATTAAAGGTGTATGCCACCATGCCCAGTTAATTTTTATATTTTTAGTAGATATGGGGTTTCACCATGTTGCTCAGGCTGGTCTCGAACTCCTGACCTCATGATCCATTCGCCTCAGCCTCCCAAAGTGCTAGGATTACAGGTGTAAGCCACTGCACCTGGCCCCTTAAATGTATTATACTGCATCCCATACAGGACATATACCAGACATTTCTGGTGTAAACATTCTGTAACGTACTGAAAAACAAACAGGCTAAGGTACAGACTGAGTACTGTACTTAGAAATTATAATGCTGAATTATTAGGCTAATGTTTCATAGGCTGATATGTGTTTCTGTTTTAAAATGATTTGCCCAAAAGTTTCTCATTTTAGCCCGAAATTAATTACTAATGTAGAAATGTAGAAAGTTCAATTACTAATTGAAATGTAGAAAGTTCCTAAACAACAGAACAAAAAAATTTAAACATACTCACAATCTCTCCATAACGTGTAGTTGAAATTCTACGTAAAGGAAAACTCCCTGTGCTGCTGAAACATAATCCTCCTGTCTTCATAAATAAATGAGGGAAAAAAATAGAAGGTTATGAAAAGGCATAAGCAACTGAAATAAAAATATATATACTTCATCAATTTGCTTAGCCTTACTAAAATGTTAGGTTCTGAACATGCACAGGACCTGCTGGTATTGACAAACGTTGGCTCACATCGGATGCACCTGTTCAATATAACAAAAATAATTTTTAAAATGTGAATAAATTATACTAAACCTAATTTAATAGAAAAGCTGTCTTTCTAAACAATGGATTAGATTCATTCAGTAAGCAATTACATAAATATGTCAAACAAATTTAAAATAACACGGATTTGAATAGTTTTAGACCATTCTGTGTTACAAAGCAAAGTATAAAGTAAATAAAACTCATCAATAATAGAAGAGTTTTAACTACATGGACTGTACAGAATGAATAATTCTGAATATCAAAGATAATTATATCACTCAACTAACAAAAGAGACCAATATCAAAATGTACATTGTGGAAGAAAAAAAAAAAGAGACCAACAAACTCACATAAATAAACCCAATCAATTTTTACAATTAGTTATATCAAATATACTTTCCTTATTTTATGTGCCACAAAGTAAAAAGGTAGCATAAGTTAAAGAGAAATGTATATATAGCTCCTAGCAAACCTACAACCAAGATTTTTAAATAACTTCTATTTATCATCTTTGTTTACTTTAGGAAAATACTTCATATCTTTCATTAATGAATGATGTAGAGTGGAGAGAGGGAGGGTACTGAACTAGTGAGGACAGTGATGAGTCAATACATGGGTGTTCATCACTTGCAAGATAGAGCAGGTAGGAGTGGGGCTGGCACATGGCATAAAACAGACTAGGCTTGGGGAAATATTAGAGGGGCAAACTTGGGGATCAGCCCAGTAATCAGTATTTTGGATGCTGTAACTCAGGTCAGCCTTAAAGAAAAGATAAAAGCTGCTCAAATATTTTCTGTATTAAACCTGGAAACTAAAGAAAAAACTGTGCCTCAAGGGAAGTCATGATGTAGGCCTCTAAAAAAATTAAAGAAGGCGGGGTGCAGTGGCCCACGCCTGTAATCCCAGCACTTTGGGAGGCAAAGGCAGGTAGATCACGAGGTCAGGAGTTCGAGACCAGCCTGGCCAATAAGGTGAAACCCCATCGTTACTAAAAATACAAAAATTAGCTGGGCATGGTGGTGTGTGCCTGTAGTTCCAGCTACTGAGGAGGCTGAGGCAGAAGAATATCTTGAGCCCAGGAGGCCAAGGTTGCAGTGAGCTGAGATTGCACCGCTGTACTCCAGCCTGGGTGACAGAGCGAGACTCCATCTCACAAAAAAAAATTAAAGAAGATGAAATTGGTGTAACATGCTTAAGTTAGAGGGACACAGAGGTAGGGGTGGGTGTGTGTGTGTGTGTGTGTGTGTGTGTGCGTGCGCGCACGTGTACGCCTATGGTTCACAAACACATGCACAAAGGGGGAACAGGAAGTAACAGAAAATGAGACTAAAAATCAGGGTACCTGGGTTATGATTACTATACAATTTTTTTCTATGTAACATTATAATACATAAGGGCTTTAGCACAGTACTTAGCATATAATTATATTATAGATTATGGACAAATTACATAGTAACAAAAAAAAATAGCTACCCTTTACAGGGCGGTTACTATGTAGCACTACACTAAGAACTGTACTTATTTGTTTCTGAGCCATCATAGCCTATGAGGTGGGTAATATATTACCATTCCAAAGACAAGGGATTGTGAAGTAGTGAGCCATCCGAGGTCAAATAACTAATAGACTGGACCAAAATTTGAACCCTATTCTGCCTCATGCTCTGGGCCTCAGCTTCCGTAACTGTTAATGTCTACTTCTGTCCTTCCTTGGATTATTGTGAGAAGCAAGTGATATGAGAGAAAAATACTCTTAAAAGTATAGATGATACGTTAATATGATATTAATGAAGTCAGCTCCCATCACACTGCATACCTGTCTTGTAAAGCATTTGCTACCGTAAAAGAGCTTTCATTTCCATCACAGAGCTCACAAGTTGCTTGAGACAACAATGTTCCATTAACGTCTCTTTCCACTAAACAGTTTAGAAACAAAATAAAGATGTAACTCATAGTAAACATACAAGCTTCTACATATTTAGAAAATATTTAACAAAACCCAACCGTAACAATTATTCTAATAATTCTCAAAACACTTTATTTGCATTAAAGGCATAACAAGTATCTCCATAATTAAGTATAGAAAAGTAATGCCTTCGTACCCTGTCCATGCCTTCAAAAAAAGAGAAGTGATGCCTTCCCTATTCTCACATAGTAAAATATAAAGAATAATTTTCCAAGTCATCATAAAAATTAAGTTTTTTTTTTCCCTCAAAAATTTTCTTACCTCTTATCTATACATTCCTGTCACACTGGGATGCAGAAGTAAGTATTTTCATAGGTTACTAATAAGTTTCTGCAACTTAGAAGGCTTTTAGTAGTGTCTATTAAAGTTTTAAATTCACATCCTTACAACAGTACAATTTTGTATTTACATACTTAACCTACAGAAACACTTGAACATGTATATAAGGATATTCACTGAAGCATTATTTGTTAGAAACAACATGAATATTTAAAATACCAGAATGGTGGTATATCCATGCTACAAAATACTATGGAATAGATTTTTTTAAATCAGGTGGCTGGCTGCGGTGGCTGAACGCCTGTAATTCCAGCACTTTGGGAGGCTGAGGTGGGAAGATCACAAGACCAGCCTGCTGTGAAACCATCTCTACTAAAAATACAAAAATTAGCTGGGCGTGGTGGAGTACACCTGTAGTCCCAGCTACTTGCGAGGCCGAGGTGGCAAGATCTCAAAGTCAAGAGATCGAGACCATCCTGGCGAACCTCATGATACCCTGTCTCTACTAAAAATACAAAAACTAGCTGAGAGTGGTGGCGCACACCTGTAGTCCCAGCTACTCAGAAGGCTGAGGCAGGAGAATTGCTTGAGCCTGGGAGGCAAAGGTTGCAGTGAGCCGAGATCGTACCACTGCACTCTAGCCTGGCGACAGAGTGAGACTCTGTCTCAAACAAACAAACAAACAAACAAAAAGAATCAGCTAAGGCCAGATGAGGAGGCTCATGCCTGTAATCCCAGCACTTTGTGAGGCCAAGGTGAGTGGATCACATGAGGCTAGGAATTCAAGACCAGCCTGGCCAATATGGCAAAACCTCATGTCTACTAAAAAAAAAAAAAAAAAAAAAATACAAAACTTTGCTAGGCGTGGTGGCATGTGCCTATAATCCTAGCTATTCAGGTGGCTGAAGCATGAGAATCGCTTGAACCTGGGAGGTCGAGGTTGCAGTGAGCTGAGATCATACCACTACATTCTAGCCTGGGCAAGAGTAAGACCCTGTCTCAAAAAAAAAAAGAATCAGGTAAATCTAACAGAGCATCAGAGCATATCTATCATTAACTGAAAAAAGTATGCTAGACTAATATTTGTATATGAAACATTTAAGCAAATATACCACTACGTTTCCTGTGGCTACATAATATAGATCCTTAAAACAGAAAAAAAATTCTGAATGTGCGCACGCACACACACACACACACAAACATCCCAAAATAAGCAATTACTTTGGGGTTGAGGGAGCAATAGAAAATCAGCATTGGGAAAGTGGTCAAAGAGGACTGTGGTCTTATCCATAATGTTTTAAGTTTGTACATGGTGGTAAAAAGTAACTTTAACAAAAGTAAAGATGAACAACTTGTTCCTCCTACAGTCATCCCTATCTCAATAAATGACAGCTCCATTTGACCATTTGCCCTGGCCCCAGTCCTTAAGAGTCTCCTCATGTTCCATATTAAAAAAATAAAAATAAAAAATAGATCTGCAAACCTGTCAGCTCTCTCTTCAAAATATGTTCAGAAACAGAATGATTCTCTCTACCTGTACAACTAATACCGTGGCCTGCTGGGTACAGTGGCTCATGCTTGTAATCCCAGCATTTTGGGAGGCCAAGGCAGGAGGACTGCTTGAGCCCAGGCACTCATGACCAGCCTGGATACACAGCAAAACCTCATCTCCACCAAAAAAAAAAAAAAAAAAAAAGAGTAGCCAGGTGTGGTGGCACATGCCTGTGGTCCCAGCTACTCAGGAGACTGAGGTGACACAGCAGGATCCTGTAAGAAAGAAAGAAAAGAAAAAAAGAAAAAGAAGAGAGAGAGAGAAAAGAAAAGAAAAGGAAGGCACGAAGTAAGGAGAGAAAGAAAGAGAGAGAGAGAGAGAGAGAGAGAGAGAGAGAGACAGAAAGAAAGAAGGCAAGCAAGCGAGCTCTGGCCCAAGTACCATCATCTATCACCTGGGCTTTTAACAGCTTCTTAACTAGAGTACTGGTTTTGTGCTCCATGAAGGAGCTAGAGTGAACCTTTTAAAACTTCAGTGTGATCATGTCACTCATTTGTTTAAAACCTTCCAAATGGCCTCTCATCTCACACAGAACAATTCGAAAGGTCACTAACATAGCATAAAGTCTTACATGATCTGCACACCATCATCCCCAGCTTTTCAGACCCATCCGCTTCCACTTTACTTCTTCTTTGCTTTAGCCACATTAGCATACTTGCTGTTCTCTGAAAAATGTCAAATATACTACCATACCTTAGTACTTGCTATTTCCTCTGCTTATAATGATGTTCTTCAGTCATCCTCTTGGCTCTGTCCCTCACTTCCTTCAAGTCTTTCTTAGATGTCACCTTTCCAGAGAGGACTTCCATGATAATATATGTAAAATAATACCCTATTCTCCCTCCCTTCTCTTGCACTGTAGAGAATTTTAATCACGTAATAGCACCACCTAAAACAGCGAAATACTGTTTCCACAGCTGTAACCTAACCCAAAGGGGCCACTAGATGTCAGAGCCACTGTTCAGAGGAAGCAGCAAAGAATGTTGCTTTCCCCTGCTTCTGATCCACAGATATATCACAAGCATCTAATTTAGGGAATGAAGAATTAGAAGAATCACAATAACATAGCTACAGTAATGGAAACATAACTTGAGTGGATAACTATATAAGATTTCAGACTACTTTTTATTCTTTCAGTAATTAACTGGCTTACACACATGGCTAATACTAAGTGTACTAGTATGTACTTTCTCTTGGTATTAATTTGTGTTGTCCCATACTGTCGACTATGGCTACTAGCCACTTATGATTACTGCCAACTTGAAATGTGTCTAGCCAGAATTGAAATTTCAAAGATTTATTAAGAACAAAAGAAGGGGCTGCGCGTGGTGGCTCATGCCTGTAATCCCAGCACTTTGGAAAGCTGAGGTTCAAGTGATTCTCCAGCCTCAGCCTCCCAAGTAACTGGGATTACAGGCATTCACCACCATACTCGGCTAATTTTGAATTTTTAGTAGAGATGGGGTTTCTCCATGTTGGTCAGGCTGATCTTGAACTCCTAACCTCAGGTGATCCACCCACCTCAGCCTCCTGAAGTTCTGGGATTACAGGTGTGAGCCACCGTGCCAGGCCAAATAATTTTTATAATAAAATCTGGTAGGTTAAAAATTAAATCTCATTTTGGCTTTAATGTACTTCTTACTCTGAGTAAGGTTGAACATTTTTTCACATGTTAAAATATTTTTTTCTGCCGGGTGCGGTGGCTCACGCCTGTAATCCTAACACTTTGGGAGGTTGAGGTGGGTTGATCACCTGAGGTCAGGAGTTCAAGACCAGCCTGGCCATCATGGTGAAATCCCATCTTTAAAAAAAATGAAATTTAAAAAAGTTAAATATATATATATATATACATATATTTTTTTTTTTTCTATGTGAACTTTACTCATGATTTTTGGCTGTTTTAAAAATTGGGCTATTCATCTTACTCTATCTGTAGGAGCTTTACATTATTGAAGAAGTTTGACCTCTGTCTATTGTATGCATTAATATTTTTCTTTAGTTTGTAGTTTGGTTTTTGGTATTATAATTTTATGGCATTCTGTAAATTTACCAATTTTTCCTTCTGTGTTTTTTTCTTTTTGTAGAGACAGAGTCTTCCTATGTTGCCCAGGCTGGTCTCAAACTCCTGGGCTCAAGTAATCCTCCCACACAGGTCTCCAAAGTGATTGAGTATTTTTGGTCATTCTTAGGCCTATTACACCAAAACTATACAAATTTTTCCTACATTTTCTTTAAGAACTTTCATATATTCATATTTAATATTTCACTCATTTGAAGTTTAATTTTCTCAGAAATAAGGTAGAAACCCAACTTAGTGTTTTCTCAGTTTTCTCAATACCATTAATCAGTCTTATCTCCACATATATGAAATGTCACTTTTTTCACATACCAAATTCCCATATAAATTGAATCTATTCTGATTATCTGGTTTAAGTTTCATCAGTCAGTCTGTGTACCCATACGCTTGTCATACATGTTATTATAGTAGCTTTATAACGTGCATAATATCTGATGGGGTAGTTCCTTCTTTCCCTTCCCAGAATGTTCTTATCTTTTCATATATCTTTCCTGATAAACTTGAAAATCTATTTGTATATTACCCCAAAACAAACAAACAATATCCTGATAGAATTGACTAAGATTCTTTAAAATATATAGACTGGTAGGAGAGTTGACATCTTTCTTATATATAATCTTCCCATCCAAAAATAATGAATGCATCTTCACTTATAAAAGCCTGCCTTTGTATCCCTTAGTAACATTCACAAACTCCTTCAATTAATTATGTTGCACATTCCTTCTAAAGTATATGCCAAGGCCAGGTACAGTGGCTCACACCTGTAATCCCAACACTTTGGGAGGCCGAGGTGGGTGGATCATCTGAGGTTGGGAATTTGAGACCGGCCTGACCAACATGAAGAAACCCTGTCTGTACTAAAAATACAAAATTAGCCAGGCATGGTGGCCCGAGCCTGTAATTCCAGCTACTCGGGAGGCTGAGGCAGAATAAAACTGCTTGAACCCGGGAGGTGGAGGTTGCAGTGAGCCGAGATCACGCCATTGCATTCCAGCCTGGGTAACAACAGCAAAACTCCAACTCAAAAAAATGAAAGAAAGGAAAAGAAAAGAAACAATATGCCTATGTATTTTTTCTTTTCTGTTGCTACTGTAAATGAGGTATTTTCTTCCATTACTGCTTATAATAGTTTTTTTGTTGCTGGTTTTTCTTTTTTTTTTTTTTTTGAGACAGAGTCTGCACTATCATCCAGGCTGTAGCCCGGTGGCACGACCTTGGCTCACTGCAATCTCTGCCTCCTGGGTTCAAGCAATTCTTCTGCCTCAGCCTCCCAAGTAGCTGGGACTACGGTGTGTGCCACCATGCCCAGCTAATTTTTTTGTATTTTTAGCAGAGACGGGGTTTCACCATGTTGGCCAGGATGGTCTCAATCTCCTGACCTCATGATCCGCCCACCTCAGCCTCCCAAAGTGCTAGGATTACAGGCGTAAGCCACCACGCACAACCCTAGTTTTTAGTTATTCTCTTGGGTGTTTTAAACATACAATCAAATCAACTGTAAACAATGATTTTTTAATATTTTTTTTTTGAGATAGGGTCTTAACCCTGTGGTACAGGCTGGAGTGCAGTGGTGCCATCTTGGTTCATTGCAGCCTCACCTTCCAGGCTCAAGTGATTTTCCCACCTTCGCCTCTGAGTAACTGAGACTACAGGCGTGTGCCACCGTACCTGAATGATTTCTTTTATTTTTTTTTTGGAGAGATGGGGTTTCACCATGTTGCCACACTGGTCTCGAACTCTTGAGCTAAAGTGATCCACCTGCCTTGGCCTTCCAAAGTACAGGGACTATGGCCTACCTTTTCTTTCCCAATGATAAATATTTTTTTCTCTTACTTAAGTGCATAGTTTGGACACAGTGACTCCTGGCTATAATTCCAGCTCTTTACGAGGCTGAGGCAGGAGGAACTCTTGAGGCCAGGTGTTCAAAGGCAGGCTGGGTAACATAAAGATCCAGTCTCAATAAAAATTTAAAAATTAGCCAGCTGCAGTGGTATATGTGTACAGTCCTAGCTACTCAGGAAGTTGAGGCAGGAGGATTGCTTGAGCTGCAAAAAATATTAAGTAAACACCTATTTAAATCAATGCCCTTTTCAAAACACACACACATATACACACACACACACACACACACACACACACAAATGAAGATTTATCATTACTTTTTCATAAGGAATCTAATTCTTACCTAAAATATGACCAGTGGGACAGTGACATTTTCCTTCTGCAGTTAAGCCACTAGGGCAAGAAATGCAGTCCCAGCCATCCTCAGTAACACCTTTCTAAAGTAAAAGAAAAAAATGTTTTTCTCTTTTTAAATTAACCTTCTTTTCCTTAATCATGTAAGTTCAAAATGCCATAAAAGTATATAACTGAAGTGAATATTCAAATAAGTCATACATATATGAGCCACATAAAAATTCCTTGGAGAGATAATTCATGCTTATATCCCAAAATTAAGCTCTATATTATTACTATATCCTGATAACTATTAAAGGATTAACTCTGGATAATAGTTCTCTTCTTCAGGATCTTTAATTCAAATGGATGCCTAATTTCATAATTATTTGTCATTTCGTTTTTCCATTTACAAATATAAAACACAACACAAAAAGATCGAATCAATAGTTAGTTAACAGTTTAATCTTACCTGTCTAAAACATTATTCTAATTTAAAAAAATTCAAATACATAAAAAAAAATTTAGTCCAGTCACAGTGGCTTACGTCTGTAATTCCAGCATTTTGGGAGGCCAAGGCAGGCAGATAACCTGAGGTCAGGAGTTTGAGACCAGCCTGGCCAACACAGGTGATTCAAAAAGCGTGAATTTTAAGAAATATAAATTATACACATAGCTGTTAAAATTGATTTATGAGAATATTTTCTTCTATCCACTTATGGCTTGTACTAGTAAAGTTTGTTTTTTTTTTTTTTTGAGACAAAAGTCTCACTCTGTCACCAGGGTAGAGTGCAGTGGCACAATCTCTGGGTTCACTGCAACCTCTGCCTCCTGGGTTCAAGTGATTCTCCTGCCTCACCCTCCCAAGTAGCTGGGACTATAGGCATGCACCACCATGCCCAGCTAATTTTTGTATTTTTAATAGAGACAGGGTTTCATCATATTGGCCAGGCTGGTCTCGAAGTCCTGAGCCCATGATCCACCGGCCTTGGCTTCCCAAAGTACTGAGATTACAGGCGTGAGCCACCACACCTGGCCTATGTAGGACAATTTTAAAATTACAATAACTTAAACAATGTCACTGAAAAAGAAATCTGTTGTGGGATCACTTTTCATTAGCAGCTTTTTATCATGGGTAATTCAGTTAGGATCAATATTTGCAAAGACGTAAAATAAACATCAAAATGATAATCAGATCCTGTAAATTGGGATAATTGACAACTTCACATTAAATTCCCAGAATTGTTTTATACGACAATGAGAAGAAACACTGCTGCAAATGTCAGAACTATTACACAGAGACTCTTAATTATCCAAAATGATTGAAAAATATATTTATGTGATTGAAAATTATCATATATAGTAACTTAATTTACTAATTTTTCAAAAATTATGATATGATGAAATTACTAACAAAACAGTAACAGACATTATTTAAGCTATTTTTTAATGCAATTGGTATTTCATGAAATAATTACACCTTAGATATCATTATGAACATCTGTAATCATATAAACTATTGACATGGCGGGTCTTATACATTGAACTCCATTTACACCAGTCAAAGAACATACACATCCCAAATTGCACACATCCTAAACTGCTCTATATATGCCTTATCCATTTAATTTTCTTTATAACCAAGTTATTCTACAAGTAAAAACAAAAACTTAAATTTTTACAGCTTTGTGTTTTTTTTGGATTTCAGATCCAAAGTTTTTCCAAGTTTGCATAAAATTTCACTGATCTCCCAAAATTTACTCTGGTAAAAATAAAGTTAGCATAATAATCTTAAAGTCTGTGGGGAAACAGAGTAAACGTTAAATTACAGTTTGAAAAATAAAGTCACTTAACTTGCTACTTTTTACAGTTATTTTAAAATAAATTATACGCACCATGTTTTCTGGGCACTTTTTACAAATAATAACAGGTCCTCCATTATTAGAGATCATCTGAAATCCTGGTAGACATACACATGAAGTTCCTAAAAAAAGCCAATTTTATCCTTGATAAATAAAAATAAAGTTCCAAGATAGTGAAACTTTTAATAAGTCTGAAGATTCTGAGAAGCAGTATGGTGATTAACAGCAGGACTCTGGAGCCAGTACTGCCTAGGTTCAAATCCAGAAACATACTTCTTGAGTTCCAATCTTGGTACTCCCAGTTGCATGACCTTGAACAAGTTACTAAACTCTCTGCCTTGGCTTCCTCTACAATAAAAAGGAGAAAAAAAAATGGTACCTACCTAATAGGGTTAGTATGAATATAAAATTAGTTACTATATGTAAAGGTCTTAGACTGGCACACGGTCAGTATTGTGTTTGCTACCATGTTAAGAGCAAGAATAACTAAGCTATTAAGCTACTTAACTGCTACAGGAAATTTTACATTTCTACATCACTAAATAATATATATGTATTTAGGCTGGGCGCGGTGGCTCACACCTGTAATCCCAGCAATTTGGGTGGCTGAGGTCAGGAGTTCAATACCAGCCAGATCAACATGGTGAAACCCTGTCTCTACAAAAAAAAAAAAAAAAAAAAAAAAAAAAAATAGGTGGGCATGGTGGCGGGCACCTGTAATCCCAGCTACTTGGGAGGCTGAGGCAGATGAATCACTTGAACCTAGGAGGCAGAGGTTGCAGTGACCCAAGATCACACCATTGCTCTCCAGCCTGGGCAACAGAGGTAGATTGTCTCAAAAAAAAAAAAAAAAAAAAGCCAGGTGTGGTGGCCCATGCCTGTAATCATAGCATTTCGGGAGCCCGAGGTGGGCGGATTGCCTGAGCTCAGGAGTTCAAGACCAGCCTGAGGAACATGGTGAAACCCTGTCTTTAAAAAAAAAATATATATATATATATACACACACACACACGAATATATACATATATACGTATACACATATATATACATGTAATCAATGATTTCAAACTTACTCTGTCATAACAGAGCAACTTACTAACTTCAGTAAGTTAAAAATTTACTGAGGCTGAGGTGGGAGAATAGCTTGAGTTGGAAGGTGGCAGCTGCAGTGAGCCAAGATGGCACCACTGCACTCCAGCTTGGGAGACAGAACCAGATCTTGCCTCAAACAAACGAACTAACAAAAGAAACATCGGATCACCTGAGGTTGGGAGCTCGAGACCTGCCTGACCAACATGGAGAAACCCCGTCTCTACTAAAAATACAAAATCAGCTAGGCATGGTGGCGCATGCCTATAATCCAAGCTACTTGGGAGGCTGAGGCAGGAGAATCACTCGAACCTGTAAGGCGGAGGTTGCGGTGAGCCAACATTGTGCCATTGCACTCCAGCCTGGGCAACAAGGGCGAAACTCCGTCTCAGACATAGAGGGAGGGAGGGAGGGAGGAATGAAGGGAGGAAGGGAGAGAAAGAAAGGAGAGAGGAAAGAAGGAAGGAAGGAAGGAAGGAAGGAAGGAAGGAAGGAAGGAAGGAAGGAAACATACATACATACATACATACAGCCAGGCATAGTGGCTCATGCCTGTAATACCAGCACTTTGGGAGGCCAAGGTGGGTGGATCATGAGGTCATGAGATCGAGACTATCCTGGCCAACATGGTGAAACCCTGTCTCTACTAAAAATAACACCACTCTGGCCAATATGGTGAAGCCTTGTCTCTACTAAAAATACAAAAATTAGCTGCGCATGGTGGTGCATGCCTGTAATCACAGCTAGTTCGGAAGCTGAGGCAAGAGAATCACTTGAACCTGGGAGGCAGAGGTTGCTCTGAGCCGAGATTAGGCCACTGCATCCAGCCTGCCAACAGAGCAAGACTCCTTCTCAAAAAAAAAAAAAGAGAAACATACAGTATAGTAAAAACATATAGGTCAACACTGAGAGCAAACAGATAGCAATGTTTCCAGTTCCCAATCTGGGCTTCCATGTCTTTATCTGTAAAATGAGAAGAGAACTCATTTTCTTAATTACTTTCGTTATTGGGAAAGTTGCCTTCATTCAAATAAATCACTGTTTCTCTCTGTTAAGATAGATAGTAAACATAATAGGATAATCACTATTCAATTTGCAGTATAGATAAGGACAGCATTCTCTAAGGAGTTATTAAGTAGAAGCAGCACCCATAGAAGTCTATGTAGTATAATACATACCATATCTGGATTCATAAATATGGAACTATACCTTTCCATATTCATAAATACGAAAAAATATCTTACATTTTAACTTCTGAAATGCTTTCTCATTCATATTGCCAAACATGTGCAGCCTGACCTGTTTGAGAACTTAAATGAGGATATGTCAAAGCTGAACATGACAGAAAGTTAATAACATGGGTGACCAAATTGAGATAGAAAACATCTTAGACTTTGAATATGGGAAAAGACATTCTGAGCAGTTTCAGTGAGAACTAGGAACAAATGATGTTTTAAGTAGAAAAAATAGATTAATCTAAAGAGACCTTAAGAATAATTAGTAATATTCTACAATGAAAAGGACAAGGCCTAAGGAAATCTATAATATTAGACACATACAGTATAGTATGGGTCAGGCTCAGTGGTTCACTCTTGTAATTCCAGCACTTTGGGGGCCAAGGTGGACGATCATTTGAGCTCACAAGTTTGAGACCCGCCTCAACAACATGGCAAAAACCCCATCTCTACAAAAAAATTTAAAAATCAGCCGGGTGTGGTGGTGTGGTCCTGTAATCCCAACTATTTGGGAGGTTGAGGTGGGAGGAGGATGGCTTGAGGCCAGGAGGTAGGGGCTGCTGTGAGTCAAGATTGCTCCAGGGCCCTCTACCTGAGTGACAGAGCCAGACTTTGTCAGAGAAGAAACTAAAATAAAGGAAAATAAAGAGAAAGAGAAATGAAAGAAAGAGAAAAAGAAAGAAAAAGAAAGACAGAAAGAAAAGAAAGACAGACAGACAAAGAAAGAAAGAAAGAAAGAAAAAGAAAGAAAGAAAGAAAGAAAGAAAGAGAGAGAAAGAAAGAAAGAAAGAAAAAGAAAGAAAGAAAGAAAGAAAGAAAAGAAGGAAAAAGAAAAAAGAAAAGAAAGAAAGAGAAAAGAGAGAGAGACGGAAGGAGGGAGAAAGGCAGGGTAAGGTGAAAACACATAGGCAGAGAGAGACAAGAGAGAAGAGAGAGAGAGAGAGAGAGAGAGAAACAGTATAGTGAAAACACACAGGCCAAGACTGAGAGAGGAAGGAAGGAAGGAAGGCAGGAAGGCAGGAAGGGAGGGAGGGAGGAAGGAAGGAATCGTGAAAACAAACAGGTCAAGACCGAGAGCAGGGATATTTATTCTTTCAGTCCCCATCTGGGCCTGAATATCCTTATCCGTAAAATGAGAAGGCTGGATCTTATTATGATTAAGGTCCCTTCCAGTTCTAAACTTCCGGGATTTGAAAAGAAAAATGTAGGGCTAGCCGGGCGCAGTGGCTCATGCCTGTAATCCTAGCACTTTGGGATGGGCAGATCACAAGGGCAGGAGTTCGAGACCAGCATGACCCTGTCTCTAAAAAAAAAAAAAAAAAAAAAATTAGCGGGGCGTGATGGCAGATGCCTGTAATCCCAGCTACTCAGGAGGTTGAGGCAAGAGAATCGCTTGAACCCAGTAGGTGGAAGTGGCAGTGAGCTGATGTCGCACTATTGCACTCCAGCCTGGGTGACAGAGCGAGACACCGTCTTAAAAAAAAAAAAAAGAAAGAAAAAGAAACAAAGAGGAAAACTGTAGGGCTATCGAGGTTCACAAGTGCTAATTTGCTTTTCCTCCCTAATCTTTCCTGTCACCTGCTCCCGTTTACCTCAGATTACTTCTCTACTAGTTTTTCTCTGTCTTCTGTAAACGGCATTCCGGGTTTCGCCCTGAGACTCCCGTATGAGGAGTAGGGGACTGGCACCGAGAAACGAACTACAGGTGGCGGGTCACTGGGTAGCCGACTCAGAATCTCCCACTTCATTCGTGTGCAAACTGCAATCCTTCCAGAAAACCCTCTTCTGAGAATTCCGCGGTTAACTTTTCTGATACATTTCTACTGCAGACGAAAACGTGTTTGAATGACTCCAGGGACTAGGGTCAGACAAAGGCGGAAGTGTTACTTTTGCCAGGGCCCACCTCAAACAGTCTTACCTCGGGCATCCTGCCTCTGGTTAGCTCCACACGGAACACAGGAGAGCGCGGAGATATCAAAGTACTGGTTGTTATCGCAGTTTTCCGGCTGCTGGAAAGGGAAAGAGAAGGTCTGGGCCTGTAAGACGCGAGGGAGTAACAACAGGAGGAACGCAATCACAGCTCGGGCAGATAAAAGGGACCGAGCTGCCATTGCCACCCCAACCCCACTGCGCGTCGCCATGGTACCGACTCTAGCAACCGCCCAGGCTCCAGCGTCCCATCAGCCTCTGCGGTAATTCCGCTGAGCTGATTGGACAACCCAAGTCTGGGTACCGGAAGTCTCTGCTGGTGCTGGTTGGTTGCTAGGTTACCAATCCTGCCGGAAGTTGGCAGGTCCAGTGAAGAATGGGTTAGAGGCCGGCTAACCCTGGAGCCCAAAGGTATTTTTGAACGTGTACAGAGCTCCTCTACTTACGACAGGGCTACTGCCTCCCCGCAATAAATCCATCATAAATTGAAAATATCAGAATTTATTCAGACTAGGTGATTTGCACCTTAAAGGAAACATGACTTGTTTAACAATTTGACAGTTTGTCAAAACAACAACAACAACAACAAAAAATAACAACCCACTGACTTAAAACCCAGTGAAGGATTACTATAGAGAAAAGACTGAAAAAAAATTTTTTTAAATCTTTCCTGCCAGGTTTGAGCACAGGAAATCATGTATGTGAGGCAAAGTAGGAAACGGAAGAAAACTGTTTGCTCATTGCGTTGCCAGCGGAATTTCACAAAGCCCCTGAATCAGTGACTGAACGAAGTCCTCCAGAAGAATACCCTACAGACAATAAGTAGGACAGAGCACAGGTTTCCACATCTGTTGCTTGAATCACTTCATTTTTTTAGAAAAGATATGTTCAGTGATCCTGGCCCTTGCCTATTCCTGTACATAAGATAACAACTGACAGGATTAATGATTATGATTATGCCTCTGTAATCTATAATCAGATGTACTCTCCAACCAAAACTTTGATGAGATTTTGCTCCAGTGTAACTTCTGAGCATGTTTAACGTAACTTTAGAGCGCATCCAAAACCCCCCAACCTTGATATAGAAACCGTGGGCAGAAACGCTGCTTTGGAGCAGTCTAACATAAACTCTTTGAAAGACTCTCCAGGGTGGCATTCCTCAGTAAGACTCCAAAAAAAACTAACTTTGAGTTTTTTTGTTTTTTTTTAAAGATGGGGTTTCACCATGATGGCCAGGCTGGTCTTGAACTCCTGACCTCAGGTGATCCACCCACCTTAGCCTCCCAAAGTGCTAGGATTACAGGCGTGAGCCACCGTGCCCGGCCCTAACTTTGAGTCTTTAAAACCCTTATTTTTTCTTTAGCTGACATGTATATAAAATGAGATAATCTTTACACCTCTTGTGAATAAAATAATCTAAGCCTGGTGCTGTGGCTCATGCTTCTAATCCTAACATTTTGGGAGGCCACGGTGGAAAGATTGTCTGAGTCCAGGAATTCAAGACCAACCTGGGCAACATAGTGAGATTCCATCTCTACAAATACAATTTATTTTAATTAGCTGGTTGGGTGGCATATGCCTATGGTCCCAGCTACTCGGGAGGCTGAGGCGGGAGAACCATTTAAGCCCAGGAGGTCAAGGCTGCAATGAGCTGTGATTGTGCTACTGCACTCCAGCGTGGATGTCAAAGAGATACACAGTTACACGCAAAAAAGAAAAATCCTGGACAAATATATGGAAACTTTTAGAGGTAAAGACCACTTGTAAGGTAAAGGTGGAAATCTAGAGTCTAAATTGGAGCAATGGAGGAAGAGAGGGGCAGGAGAGGATGAATAAAGGAGCTATTCAGGAGGAAGCATAAGAATTTTGATTTTGACATAGGAAGTAAAGAAACAGAATCAAGGCTAACTTCCAGGTTTCTGATTTGGGTGACTGGGTAGATGGTTGTGATATTAAAGGAAGATAACTGTGGCAGATAGCTTCTAAGAGAAAACTTATTGGATAGATTTAAGAAAATGTTAAGGTAGAAATGAAAGTTACAGGAATATTTAACATGGTGGGAGCTAGGGGAATGCATAATAATAGAAATAGTAGGTATTAATAGCTTGTTTTGTTATCAATCAAATAAGCTGTCTACTCAATGCATGCACAGAATGCATACTATGTGGCATAAGCTTTTGAGGGAAGAAAAGGCTTTATTTGCACAACTGGTCGGCAAGGAGATAGGAGTGGATTCAAATCTGCCTCCTTGATTTGGGGTCTGGGGTAAACTTATGGGCTTGGAAAGTCAAGAGAAAGGATTTAGGAATGTGGCTCACTGGCAGGTTGATTGGAGGACTTTAAATTCGACCCTTTACAAAGAGGTACACAGAGGCTGATTTTAGGTCCGATCTTCCAGGCAAATGGATCCATCGCTTTTGAAAGAGTTCCAAGTTTAGGTTCCAGTTGTGTCCTGGTCTTCTTGGTTTCAAGAAAAGGATTCATTGGTTTGGGTGTTGTTACAGGTCCAGGCTTTTTCTACTGCACATGCCCGGGCTACATGACTTGCAGTTTTCAGCTCTGTTATATCTAAAAGGTAACTTGACATTTTGTTATCAACAAAGTAGGCTCAGTTTGGGCTAGTCCCATAGTGACACTTTTTTTTTAAATTGCATTTTAGGTTTTGGGGTACATGTGAAGAACATGCAAGATTGTTGCATAGGTACACACATGGCAGCGTGATTTGCTGCCTTCCTCCCCTTCACCTATATCTGGCATTTCTCCCCATGCTATCTCTCCCCAACTCCCCACCCCCTGCTGTCCCTCCCCTATTTCCCCCCAACAGACCCCAGTGTGTGATGCTCCCCTCCCTGTGTCCATGTGTTCTCATTGTTCAACACCCGCCTATGAATGAGAACATGTGGTGTTTGATTTTCTGTTCTTGTGTCAGTTTGCTGAAAATGATGGTTTCCAGGTTCATCCATGTCCCTACAAAGGACATGAACTCATCGTTTTTGATGGATGCATAGTATTCCATGGTGTATATGTGCCACATTTTCCCTGCCATAGTGACACTTTTAATGTGTCCAGCTTGCAATATCTCATTTGATCTTAAATTGGAACTGTTATCATCACCTTTAATTTAGTGATGAAATAACCAAGGCTTAGAAAGTATAAACGACTTTTGGCTGGGCATGGTGGCTCACGCCTGTAATCCTAGCACTTTGGGAGGCCGAGGTGGGCGGATCATGAGGTCAAGAGATTGAGACAATCCTGGCCATGATGAAACCCCGTCTCTACTAAAAATACAAAAATTAGCTGGGTGTGGTGGCACGCACCTGTAGTCCCAGCTACTCGGGAGGCTGAGGTGGAAGAATC